GCTGGACAGTCTCAAATCCGCAAAGAGCGATCAAAGTAGACAGGAGTCGTCGGCAGGAGCAGTATCAACATGAGGTTGCACAGTAAAATTATTATAACAAAAGGAAAAAGGTAGTGCAAACTGTTATGAATGCCGACGCTCCTAAGCAGTGTCCTCTAAAGATGGCTGATATCGAAGAACATTATAAAGACCTCTTTGAGAGCGAAAATCTCCGCAGGTGTATGGATTATGAACAGTGTGCCCCGATGCCAAATTTAGTGTCCATTGAGCTAGAAGCTGTCAAGAAAGCCATTAAATCAACATCAATGGACACATCGCCGGGGCCTGATGGAGTTCTGATCCGCACAATTAAATATTTTGATGTATCAAATATTATCAGAACAATTGCAGTGATAAAGCCTGAAGGTGGCCTATGTCCCAGAACCACTTCGACAAGGGCGCACAATATTAATATACAAATGTAAAGGTGATATAAACAATATCTCTACCTGGAGACCTATCACCATTTATTATATTGTGCGCCGAATCATAGAGAAGGTTTTAGACCACGAATTAAGAAAGCAGGTCACCTTCCACAGGAATCAGAGAGGCTTTATAAAAGGCCTCTCGGGAACGCACGTCTACGCAAGGATTATCGACGCTATTTTGAAAGATGCAAAAATTATGAAAAATGATTGTGCGGTAGTGTTCCTTGACGTTGTCGGTGCTTTTGACAATGTTGGCCACAATCATATCGTGAGCTCCTTAGAAGCAAGAGGTGTGTCGCCGGATCTTAAACATGTTATATCGGCTCTCCTCTGCACGAACACAATCAAGATTAGTAACGATGTTCACTCAACTAGCCAAATCAAAGTGCTGCGCGGAGTACCCCAAGGCGGCCCCTTGTTTTCGTCGCTTTTCAACCTGGCAATCGACCATCTCTATCACGACCAGTGCGATAAAGAATTTTCCAATAAATTTAGATATAAGTTAAAAATTGGCCAAGGTTGTGTGGTCCTCACAGATTTCGCGGATGACTAGGCCGTGTCGGCGCGTGACAAGAGGGCTGCAAAAGCAGTGATCGGCAGGATACAGAGGACGTTTGAGGAAATTGATTTGGCTGTAAATCTTCAAAAAAGCGTGGGCATCGTTCTAAATAAAGCAATGCTAAATTGTTTGGTGATCAAATTGAACGAAAATCTTAATAAACTAGTAACCCCTTCCTTGCTTAGGCCGGAGCATAAGCTAAACATTGTCAATCAGTATCTGTTCTCGGGTCTTACTTACCCTCTCCAAACTGCGCCCCTCACAAAGCTGCGTCCTGCCGTACTTGGCGACATCGACACCATGATTCGCAGGAGTGTGAAGGCTATTGTTGGACTCCCTGCGAACACTTCCATGGCGACGTTATGCGCTCCCAGGAGGTATCGAGGATTAGGATTAATCCGCTGCCAATAGGAGGCTCCTCTACAACATTGGTCCATTGCTCAGCGACTGCCCAATGGGCCCGATGCCCTTCTCCAGCCGATTTTTGATTATTCGGCTGAGGTTGCTAAATATGCCGAGAGATTGGGGGTTGATAGGGGTATTCGGAATATAAAAGCTCTACGGCAGTAGCTTTGAGAAAATTAGTTTGAGGAATGGAGGGTGGCATGGCATTGGAGTTCGCCATTTTAAAGAGACACCGAAATCCAATAAATATATGTACGATAAGCAAGTACTTTCTGGGTCTGAATGGTCAAATGCCCTGAAACTAAATATTAACTATGCACCCCATCGTGGAGTTCCAGGTGTCAGCGGACAGGTAAGAGAAGTTGGGTCTCTCGGTCGCAAATGCGATAGAGAGCCAGAAACACCAGCACGCGTGCTTGGAAAATGTCCCAACAACTTCTTCTTTATAACGCGCCTTCACCATAGAGTCAAACATGAATTGATGAGGCTCCTTAAAAAGAGAGATTACGTTTGTTACGAGGAAGTATATTGTATAGATACGGATGGATCCACCCGATATGCCGACATTGTAGCATTCCCCAAGACGGGAAAGTCGGCGATGATTTTGGTTCCAACCGTGAAATATTAGACCAATGACGTCGATCAGGCAGGCAAAGTGGTAATCAAGAAAAAAAAGACGTATGAGCAATGCATCCCTTTGCTTAGTGAAAAGTTCCACGAGAATTTCGGGCCGAGAAAGTTCCACGTGAGATGCCTTTGGTTTGGAGCTCGCGAAACGATACCTAACTCAACAAAGAGCTTCATGGAGGGCCCTGCTGTCGACATAAAGGACGTGGCAAAGTTGGCAGAGAATATAATCCTCGACTCCCTGGAATCAACCACCACCATGTGCATGGGAGCGGATAGGGAGAGAGTTTGTTCACAGGGGGGAAGGCATGCGTGTTTACAGTATTTTTATATTATTTATTGAAAACGTTCACTGTACTTTATGTATTTTAATGCATTTTATGAATTAGGTTGGGAAGAGAGAGGAGGGAAATATGTGTAAGGGGGAGAAGGAAGAGAAAGGGGTATAGAATGATAATAAATGAATGAAAGAAATAGGAAAAAATAAATAAATAAAAAGAGGGAAAAATATATTTAAAAAATAATAATAAATATATATAAATATAAAAAAATATATGGTATACTATGCTCATACATATTGTTAATCCTATATAATTGTATATTAGTTTAAAAAAATTGTCTTTATTGATTAATAAGTATGCTGTTTTTAGCAACTCAATGTAATTAGTAGCACCCTTTTATGATAATAAAGTGATTCTCTCTCTCTCTATGCCTTCTGTCTGTCTTTCAGGAAGAGTTCTGATAGGTCTGCTGACCAGAGCCGACTACCGACTGCGTGATGCTATTTCGCAAGGAGTGCTGAGTGGTGGGGCAAAGCTCAGCAACACAAAGCATCAAGCAACTGAGAAGAGAGAAAGAATAACAAACTAGAATATAGCTTAGTACAATGAGGGGGAACAAAATTACTCATCTCTATGATGTAATGTATAATTGAGGTGCCGTGGAGAACGAGAAACAGGTGTAGAGAGGTGGTTTCAGTGAGTAAAAACCCATGGAAGGGTAGTTAAGGTTCATTTCCTCCTGTTCTAAAAAATAAAAATTATAATAAATAAATAACAAGATATTGCTTATCAACATAACTTTTTTTTGTCCACCCCTGCCACACATTTTGGCTATACGGAGGTTTCCCCGGACCAGGAGGAATGGTGGACAGTTATCCCTCCCACCCAGCAGAGGGAAGCCACACAGTGGAACGAGTAAGGGAAAATTCACGACATCGACTAAATCTTTTTTTTTTTTAACTCCAAAAACTAGATATACTGTTTTATTGATACCTTGTAGAGTTCTTGGAGTTCTCCAGCATATTTTCAGTTGGCAGAATATACATTTTTCACTGTTTTTATAGAAAAGTTCAATTGGAAAAAAAAAATTTAGCCGATGTCGCGAGTTTTCCCTTACTCGTCCCACTGTGCGTAGGTACGCGCTCGTATTTATTTTGTATCTTATAAACTTTGCTTTATAATATGGTTGCCGAACAACGCGTGTTGTAAACTCATTAGCCCGCTCGGTCACCCCGCTCTCCTTCCCACTTGCATTCCTGTTTAGAAATGACAAGCTCCTAAACAAAGCTTAGAAGCTACGCTGAGCTTATTTATGGGTATCAGAAATCCATTAGGCCATGTCTAAACACATCGATGGATCCATTTATGGAATTCAGCGCTTTACTTTAGTCATGGTTTGAATCAGCGATGGCACAGCGGTTTCATCAACTTTTGAGGTCGAGGGATCCGCTGGATATAACCTCATTATAACCCCTTACTGTTGTTTCTCAATTTACTTCACATACATCTGTATTCAGTTTACTTCTATCTATATTTATTTCTTTTTTGAAATTCAACAATGCAGAAGGTAAATATTTCCGTATATATCATTTATTTTTCAAGTGTTTTGTAATAGTCTGAGGTACAAACAGGCCTCTTTTTATAAAATTATGAACATCTGTGTAAAACTTCATGAATGGCTTCATCTTATCGTAACGCATAACTTTTTTATTTACGAAAGTTCTCGGCAACGGGGTGTTTCATTCAGGAGATCGGTTAGCTTTGTCTATTTAATGAGGTACTAAAAACTCATGAACCTGAATCATAAGATAATTTGATCACAAAATTGAGAAAAAAATAGATGGCTTACAAAAATATTGGGCCGTTTGGAATGAACTCCATCATATAAAGAGGTTATATAAGCTAAACGGCCCAATATTTTTGTAAGCTGCTATTTTTTTCTCGATTTTATGATTTAATTATTTCACGATTTTGTGATATACTTATCTCACGATTCAAGTAAAAAGCAAAAGGCTATTCACAGGTTGTTAGTAACAGATTAAAGTAATTAATTTAATGATAACACTCCTCATTTTATGAGATTTTTCATTGATAAAAATGCTGCAGATTTTGATAAGAAAAAGCCATTGACGAAATTTTATACAGGTGTTAATAATTTGATTAAATAAAGTCTTTACCGCCAACTATAACCTCCCAGGAGTGGTAATAATCTTTCGCTGGAATCCAGCAGGTCTTTTCTATTCTCAGCATAAATCACTGTCCATCGGTAATGGATTCAATTGATTAATGGATTCTTTCGATGGAATTAGCGCTAAACCAAGGAACTTGCTCTGTTACACTGGCTTAACCTTTCCTGAAAAAAAATTAATGGATTCTTCTTATTATTTTTTATACACCTGTTACCAGATTCATCAACTTGAAAAGTAATAAAAGGGTTCTATAACGATTAGAAAATTTTAAACCCATGTTAGTTTATCTTAAAGATATGAACTTCTATATATACCAGTCATTGGTTCAAGGATTTTATGTATCTAAATATATGAAAGTATTAATAATTAATTAATGCATGAAATAAACCGCAAATATCAAATGTTCAACCAATAATTATATTTGTTAATTTATTTTCCAACATATACCTCGCTGGATTAGTTCAGTTTATCTTTGGGTTACCAGCAATACAACCTACACCCACCTACAAACATGAAAACAATCTTTGAGTTTATCATAAAATAAGTTTTTGTGTAGTGCAGTGTTAATTTATTGCACAAGTCATATAGTGTATTTACAATGATTAAGTTTTATCGTGTTGAAGTTAACAAAACAGAATGGGAAGTACCAGAAAGATATCAAATGCTTACTCCTGTAGGTTCAGGATCCTATGGCCAAGTATGGTAAAAGTCAACAAATATTGTTATTTATCCCTGTTTCTTGGTTGTTTCTGAATCATGAAAGATGTGAAATTATTTGGAAATGTCTATATTTTATTTTTAATCTCCTTTGCCCTTTACTTTATGTATCGAAATTTATTTATGTTTATTAACAATTTTCTTTTTATAGAACATGAGTAATTAGCTACTTACCAACTATTGTAGTTAATTATAGCATGCAATGTGTGATGGTATTTCTGTTTTTTTTACATCCAAAGAATTTAAACTTTTTAAATATAATTTATCATTCATCCTTGGATAACCATTGTCAGTTAATTATTTTGAATATAGCATTTATTAATTTTTTTTAGCCTAGACGTAGGCTTTTTTCACATATTAATATATTAGTTTAGTATCACATTTGAATGTGTGTACTGCTTTAAATATACTTTCCATATTATTTTAGCTATCAAAACACTTTTATCTTAAATTAACTATTCACAAATAGGCTATTTTACTTCTTTTTTTTTTGTTAATTCCTGTTTTTATAACCAGTTGAGACCTTGAATAATTGACCTCTGACCTGAACTTAGCCTTGGCAAAAGATTGCCCAATACAGAAATAAATCCTTTCTTATGATAAATTATATTCATTCAAACTTTATGTACTATATTTTTTTCTTAGTAACTAAAATTTCACTATGCATATTAAAGAACAATTTTAAAGATTCGATTAACCATTCAAAGTAATTATATAGCCCTGATTTTTTTTATGGTACTCTTTAGGTTGTGGGTTGGATCTTACAATGAGGGCTATCTTCTAATTTGTACTTGTACTATTTGTAATCTTCTAATCAAATCATTAAGTAAAGGGTGGATATTGTTTAAACAAATCTATAGATTATAAAATATATAGTATTAACTCCTTACTCTAGTGGTATTTAGAAAATATTTTCAAGCAAATAGTGTGATAAATAACTGTTATTCAAAGCTCCTAAGCTTTAATTAAAATCCATAGTGCCTGAAGTAACCGGGGAAGGGGGGGGGCTAGTATTGTCAAAGAAATTTTCGCTCTAAAAGTACAAAATATGCAATTTAATGTAACAATAGCCAATAAAGTGTAATTGATATTTCAATATGTCATTTTAGAGATTGTGAAACAGATAGGTAATTAGGTTTTTACACGCAAGTGATAAACAATGCAATAACATGAGAATCCATTCTCTTATTATAAGTAATAAAAAAAAAGCTATTGTTAAAACACAAATGTATATATTAAAATGGGCGAGGCATTTAGCTCGGAGTAATCTATCAGGGATCTTTTACACAACAATGAATGCCTCAGTAGTAGGTAAGATACCTAGTGGAAGGCCAGCAAGCAGATGGATAGATCGAATCAATAAAGATGCAATAGAGCTGCATGCAGATAACTAGAGAGAAATAGCACAAGATAGACAGAGATGAAGAAACCTTCAGAAAAAATAAATAAAAAATTCATATATATAATTTTTTTTTTTTATTGAGATTTACAACTGTATTACATGGAAAATACAATGAGTAAATGTGACATTGGTAACATGACATGTACAACATGAAGAGAAACTACCCATTAGTAGAACTCAAAATATATATAATAAACAATTATATTACACACACACATATATATGTATATATATATATATATATATATATATATATATATATATATATATATATATATATATATATATATATATATATATACAGTTAGTAAAAAAAGTCTGGGTACACCATTGCCTTAAATTATTTTACTGCGTTAAACAACAAAACATGACAATGATAAAACTTTATTTGCTGTTTCACAAAATTTTAATCGTGAAGAACATAAATAAGGAGATCTGCATCAAAAATTTCAATTTTTATATTTGTAACTCACAAATAATTAATTTTTGTAACCCAAAAAAATTTGTGCACACTTGATTTCTTTCTTATTTTTATGACAATATTGTTAATACACGATTTGCAGAAATCAATAGTCTGTGGACCCTCTCATGTTTTTATCACTTCATGTAGACTTATAGAGCCCCAAACCATGATTCCACCTCCTCCATGATTGACCATGGGAGGTTTTTAGCTGCTAACGTTTGATTGGTTTTTTGCCTCACCCAAACTTTTACATTAGATGAAAATAAGTTAAATTTGCATTTCTCGCTGAATAAAATCCGGTCTCAGAAATTATTGGGCTTATTCAGATAATCTTTTGCAAACGATAAACATTTATGTTTATTCACATTACTTTTAAAAGGCTTTTTCCTAGCAGATCGCGTGTTAATAATTTTATTATATTAAATTTTATTTTATATTAAAACAACAATATAAGCAGTTCAGCAAGTAGGTATTTTAGATTTATGCTTATCAGCAATGCATAAAAGATCAGTAAATTAAATTTTAGTCAGAAGTTGTAATTGTAGATGAGTGTTACTGTGAAATAGTCTTCAATGCAATGTCTGCAAACCGTGTTCATTCAAGTCAATAAAACTAGTCTGCTGACTCAAATTCAGTTCTTAGGACCCCTGATTTTTTATACTAACACCCCTCCCCCTTCATATCTTAGGTTCTGCAACATGATAATTATAAAAAATAAAAGTCCAGTCTAAAACAAAATTATGGTTGTAAGTAATTCCAGGTACTCTTCTACAATATTCATTTATGATACTTGTTTTTGTAGTTTATTTGAATTTCTATTTATTATACAATTGTATTTTTTTATTATTATTTTATCTTCTAGAGAGAAAGAGAGAAACACTTTATTTTCATAAAAATATAAAATATAAAAGATTGCTGCCCAATTATATTGGGTTGCTATATACACAGCATACTCTTCAATCCTTAGGACAATAGATGAACTTATATATAAACATACAGAAGTATTAGTTTATATTAGTAAAATAGATTTATATATATATTTTTTTTCAACATATAACATTCCCTTTCTCTCACTTCTCTCTCTTTATCTCTATTGTTTTCAATTCTACATTAAATAAATAAATACATAAACTAAAACTCTCAGGCTAGCCATGCACGTGGTGGTGAATGATTCCCAGGGAGTCGAGGACTATATTTTCAGCCAACCTCGCTACGTCCTTAATGTCGACACCTAGTTCCTAGAGGAAGCTCCTTGTTCTTTTTGGAATTGTTCCACGAGACCCAAACCAGAGGCCTCTCACGGTGAACTCTCTCTCCGAAGGTCTCACGGAATTTCTCTTTTAGGAAAGGGATACATTTATCGTAATTGTTCTTTTTTTCCCTTTCCACTTCACCCGCCTGATCGAGGTCATTGCTCTCAAAGCAGACAGTTGGATCCAAGATCAGCGCTGTCCTTCCTGTATTGGGAAATGCGACGATATCCGCGTATCTCGTAGAGCCTTCACTATCGATGCAATATACCTCGCCAAAGCAGCTGAATTTCCTTTCCCTAAGGAGCCTCATCAACTCGAACTTGACCTGGTGGTGACGACGTGTTATAAGGAGGGAGTTGTTGGGGCATTTTCCCAGCACATGGGCTGCTGTTTCAGACTCTCTTTTCTCGTAGCGACTGCCGTAGAGCTTTCACATTTCGATGACCCTGATCAACCCCCAATCCTCGGCACATTCAGCAACTTCAGCCGAATAATCGAAGGTAGACTGAAAAAGGGCATCTGGTACATTGGACAGTCGCTGAGCAATGGACCAATGTTGAAGAGGAGCCTCCCATTGGCAGCGGATTAATCCCAATCCTCGGTATCTCCTGGGGGCATACAACATCGCTGTGGAAGTATTCGCAGGGATTCCAATAATGGCCTTTACACTTCTGCGAATCACAGAGTCGATGCCCTCCAGTATGGCAGGACGCAGCTTTGTTAGGGGCGCCGTTTGGAGAGGGTAAGTAAGACCGGGAACAGATATTGATTGACAATGTTGAGTTTCTGCTCAGGTTTAAGTAAGCCAGAGGTTACCAGCTTGTTTAAATTATCATTCAATTTAGTCACCGAATCTTCGTTGAATTGTAGCTCTCCCGAGAATGTAAATCCTAAATACTTGATCGTATCTCCATTCTTCAGTGTTTGGATGTAACTGCCTTATATTATATTCCTAATTCTAATTCATATCATTAATTGACTGTTAAATTTCATGTTTTCAATGATGATCTCTGTTGGGATAATATAGTTAACACATATATATAGTTTGGTACTTCATAAAGAATATTAATTATATTATCATGTTTTATTACAGCTCAGCAATGGATACAAAATATGGCGTTAGGGTAGCAATAAAGAAACTACCAAGACCATTCCAGTCTGCTGTCCACGCTAAAAGAACATACAGAGAACTGAGGATGCTTAAGCATATGAACCATGAAAATGTATGCATTTTAATATTTTCTAGTATTCAAAGTATGGTTATCAACTAGATTGAAGTGGAAAACTATTATCAATTACAATTTTATTAATTATTGTATTCATGGATAAAATTGGTAATTTGTTCTTGCAGTGATAAAAAATAAATATGTAATTATTATAAGTATTAAATCTTTCTAGGCTTTCTCTAAATCATTTATTTATTCTTTTTGCTATCCTAGTGTTTCGGGATCGCAAAATATGTGTTGATGTGCCATGCTACTATTTATATTAACTAGATGGGAGACCTCTGATCTAGAGAAAACTTAAATTGCTTTCATACCTATAAAAATTAATTGTTGCATCCCACAACAATTCAAGAAAGTGTCAGTAATAGCCTATACTTTATTATTTAGAGTTAATATTTTTTTCATGATGATTATTGTGTAACAGTATTATGTTTGCGTTATATTATATTCTGAAAACCAGAGGAATTCAATATTGATAGATTCTAAATAGAATTCCGGCTATTATTTTCTTTTTATTAATTAATCCAAATCTGTGCATATTAGGACAACCAGCATATATAATAACTAGAGATCGACCAATACCGATATTAATATCGGTCAAATGCTGATATGCCGATATATTGCCCCTTTTTTTTTTTTTTAGCACGGGTATCCTATATTTACCAATATATATCGGCGTCTTTCACATTGAATATTGTTTTTATTGCTAATAAATGTGTCTAATCAAATGAAAACGGGTATGCATAGAAATAACAAAAATTTGAGCATCAACAAAAAATGGTATATCGGCCTTATGACCTTATTTTATTGAGATCGGTAAAGTTTGCTCTGTTTTTTTCTTGTATACATCTTCCAAATTTTCTAGTCATCTCCTTGAACCGATATATCTGCCTCTTTCACTTTAAATATTATTTTTATTGCTAGTAAATGTATCAATCATTTATCAAAATAAACATAAATTTAAGCAAAGGCCAATATATCGGCTATATGACCATTTTTGTTAAGGTAGATAAAGTTTGCACTTTTTTTTTTTTAATTTATTTCTTTATTTATTTTTTTGCTCATCCTCTTCCCAGATTTTCAGTAGATACGGACATCCGATATATCAGCCTCTTTCACATTGAATATTATTTTTATTGCTAATAAATGCATCAATAATTCGCCAAGGAATCAACATAAACATAAATTTAAGCAAAGACTGATATATAGGCCTTTTGGTCTTACTTTATTGAGATTGGTAAAGTTGGAACTTTTTATTTTATTAAATTTTTTTCTTTACATCTTCCAAATTTTAATTTTAATATTATTTTTATTGCTAATAAATATGTCAATCATTCATCAATGGATCAGCATATACATAAATTTAAGCAAAGACTGGTATATTGGCCTTATGACCATATTTTATTAAAACTGTTAAACTTTACACTTGTTTTTTATATTTATTTTTTAACTCATCCTCTTGACAGATTTTCATCAGATATCGATATCCTAAAGACTGAGTTTTACTTTACAGATATATCGGCCTCTTTCACATTGAATGTTATTTTTATTGATAATAAATGTATCAATCAAACGTTAACAGGTCTGCATAAAAATAAATTTAAACAAAGACCGATATATCGGCCTTATGACTTTATTGGGTTGAAATTGGCAGACTTGAAAAAAATTTTATTAATTTATTTTTTTTCTGTTTCTCCCCTTACTCTGATTTGAGCAGATTCTGATATTTCAAAGACCAATATTTTGGCCTCATGACCTAATTTAGCCAAATAAGCAGAATTTGACTATTGGTTGACTTTTTTTTTTTTTGTACCTCCTCTAAACTTTTTTTGACTGATAAAGCAACCTTTCAACCTTAATTTATCAAGATTCGACGAGTTTTACTTGGAGTCGCTGGAATTTACGTTCTAACTGAAAGCTACCAATTATGAATTTAAACGAAAGATATGCCAGTTGCCAATACATTGGTCTTTCAGGGTGTCCCGTGCCCGGGAATATTCAAAAAGTTGGAATTGTGCATGCATTTCTCATGCACAGAAAAACTATGGGAAATGTACTGAAGTTTTAAAAATAAAAGGTTTTTTTTGTTGTGTTCCTTTTGTGATAAATAAGATTTTTCTTATTTCCTTTGTGATTTTTATTATATCCTTTTTGTTATATCATAACGTCTTCTACCTACAATTAGTGTGACAACTTTAGACCTATTGATGGTAGGCAATGAAAATCTTGTTACAACATTGTAGTAAATTTTACTAAAGAAAAATAAGAGTTTAATGAAAGGTATGTTATTCAGATTTAGTGTCCATAAGTTTTACTATGTTGTACAATCCATACTCATTTATAGGTTAAATAATCAGATGTAGTTTCAAATCTTATTTGGTATTCCAGTTCATGGACTGAAGTTATGTGGTTCAAAACAAACAGATGGAATTACGAGGTTTTTATTACCTATCATCGATATAATAAAAGGGATTTGTGTTATTTTTATGGTCTTAATGAGTTCAGGTTGGTTGTAAGGTTTGAAGTTCAGCTCCATTAAAAATGCACTTCAAGAACCTTGTAATAGCCCAGCTTTGCCAGAAAATAATTTCTATTCAAAATATAGCGGTAAATGAAAGTTGTGTGATGCACACACCAAATTTTTTTAACTGGACTATATTAGCTGACAGACTTGTTATTCTGTTTATACTGACCCTCAAAAATTTAATGAATAAACAATAATTTTTATTTTTATAGGTGATTGGGTTACTTGATGTATTTCACTCTTCAAAAAGCATCAATGATTTTCAGCATGTATATTTAGTTACACATTTAATGGGTGCTGACCTAAATAATATTGTCAAAACTCAACAGTTAACAGATGAACATGTTCAGTTTCTTGTTTATCAAATACTGAGGGGATTAAAATATATTCATTCAGCTGGAATCATTCATAGGGTATGCTTTTTATTCATTTTATTATTAAATTTTAATTATATAAACTACATTATACTATGTTATCAGTATGTTTCAGATTTAATTCTTATGAGCTGGCAGTCATTCTAACCCTAAGATAGTAATTTTTACAATATGGGTGATAAATAGTCAGGACGCCATCATTTTTCAGGTTTTTATTGGTGCCGAATTTCAATCCAAGCATGTGGGTCATCATCAGGGCGTGTTTCGAGCACTGAAGGTGTTCAAATACTCATTGAAAATCACTGCATCCTGACTATGTATCACCCATGATATGTAGAATAATCGACTTACTTCCTTCAATAATTTTTATAATAGTAATTCCTGAGTTTCAATTGAAGTGTAGGTGTACTGTATTTGATCGAATGTAGCTTGAACCTCCGTTTGAAAATAACTTTTAAAGAAAAATGTGGTAGAGGAAAAGTGTAAGCTACTAATAATAAATCAGTTTCCAAATTAAAAATTAAATGAAAATGTTGGATTAGTAGTTGAATGAAAACATGTTTTTTTTATGTGCATTTGTGTGAGACTGTTTTTATTTTCATTTTTCAAGTAGTGGAATGGTTTAATTCAAAAGGTATATATAGCATTAAAATGAAAAATAATTTGTTATGGTCTGTTTCCAAGTTATGATTAAAGTTGTTTAAACCTTTCCTTTTGGTAATTCATTATACCTCCTGATCACTCCTTATCTAACTTTTTGTTTTTCATTTTTATTTAACTTAGCTAATTATTTAATATTCTTAAATCTTAAATTGCAAGTATTATTTATATAATTTTTTTTTCTATTTTGATTTTAAGTAACCTTTACTTTCATTCTCAACTCTCAGTTAAAACATATTTGCCTTTGACTTATGTATTATCATTATGTACCTGATTCCATTTTAAACAAAATTTTTCTTCCGAATAGTTGTGAACTAACTTATTATTAATATAAACTGTATTTATTATACCTCCCATCCTGAAAGTAGAAACAAAAATTATCTATGAAATAACTTGAAAGCCTCAAATTTGGTGTTAAGCTCAAATTTAACTAGATCGAAGTTGATCTCAAATGTAGATCAAACATCCTCATTTTAAGTACAAACATTTTAGAGGAAAACCTAGATCTATGTTTGAGCAAATACAGTGAGAGTGTGTGTGTATTCTTATTATATATGAGTTATGCTATTGCTAAAATCATAAACTGAGTTTCTTCCCTCTCTTAAATCCCAAATAATCCTAGGAAATTGACCTAATTTTTACTTTCACTTACCCATATATGAAATGTATAGTAAGGGACCTTATTGCTATCGTGAGCATTTTTGAATCTGAGTTTTCAATGGAAATACATGTTTTGAGGTTTCCTGAGTCCAAATAAGTCCCGAAAAATGGTCTGTGTATGTGATCTGTCTAGCTCAAAAACAAAAAGTCGTATGAAAGTGAAATTGCATACTTAAGGTTTGTATATACCTGAGATGTTACCACAACTTTTTCGTCAAAATCGACTAACCGGAAGTGGCAATTTATATAATCGATGTTACACATTTTAAAGGTTTTCTCGAAAACGGCTCTAACGATTTTGATCAAACTCGGTATATCAGTGTATTATTAAGCAGTTTTTAGTACAATGTAAGTTTTATTCTCATTGATGTTCTATAACAGGGCCTAAACATCTAATTTTCAATATTAGCTTCCTCTAAAGTCCCTTTAACTTTTTTTATTTGAAATAATAACCCATTTCACATTAATCTTTGATATAAAAAATAGTTAAATATAAAATATGAACGAATTTTATAATTAACTAAAGGAGAATTAAGAGATCATAACGGATAATAGTTGTAATAAAAATGCCCACAATGAAATGTAAATAAATATAGCATCCATAATTTTTACTTCCACTTCCCCTTTGTCTGAATATACTTATTTCTGCTAAGAAGAGGGTGGTAAGTGAAAGTCATGTGATGCGCGCACCAGATTTTTTTCAGGTCATCATATTCATTTTTTAACATTTGCTAGGTGTATTTAAATTATAATACAGTTTTAAATATCATGAATAATAAATGAATAATCCTCCTTGCATTTCTTAGGAATAAAAGCTATTAATGATTTCCTCTAGGATTCCAGTATATATCCAAGTGCAAGTGAGGATCCAAGCAGTGCTTTAATTTGAGGAAGTAATACCTTAAGACCGTCTTTAAGCATACATGGAAATATCCTTACGAGAACCTTATGTGGTTTGAGCTCTCCTACAGCCCATTTAATGGCTTATCTGGCCATTTGGCAACGACTGCCTCAGCCCATGTCCATTCTTCCTCTTTAATTAGGGCTTGTTCATTTGGGTCCATGATAGGAGGATTGTCTTTATTTATTACCTTAATACCCAGAAAGTGGGTCTCCAGTAAATGAGTCAAAGTGTCCTCAAGACTGGAGGTCCACGTGTTGTCTGGTTTCTTTAAAGCTCCTAATGATGGGTGGTTATTATTGTCTAGGATCTTTATTAACCGGGAGGCTTCTTTCTTCAGGCGTTTTTTCCACATTACTTCAAAAATTTCACTAATCCTCCTGTTTGTGCCTTCTTAGAACTCTTTTATAAATATTAGAAGTAGCACGATAGTAATCCCAATCTTCTTTTTGTCTTGTCTATAGACTTTCCTGGTGACTTTTTGTAGCTTAGTCAGCTCATATTAGAGTGCTACCAGTGGGTAGTTTCTCAACAAGCGTGTTTCATGTAATAATATTTCTCTGTACAAATTTACTTGATGTATTCATACTAATACAGTTGTAAATATCATAATAAAAGTTAAAAAAAAAAAAAGTCAGCTCATTAGACCACCATCTGACTTTTTTTTGGTTCTGTTCTCAAAGGGCAGACCTCATATGCCGCCAGAATGGCAGTCTCGAAGAGGCTAGCCTCTTTGTTTATCTGATTTCTTGTATAAAGCCCATACACCCCATGGGTTATGAGGCTTTCTAATCTCTCCCTTTACAGTTTCCAATCAATATTTCTTGGATTTCTTTTCAGGGAAGGGACGGACTGGAGTGACTCAATCTTAAATGTGGTCAGACAATGTAATGTCTGAGGTGACGAACCAGTCTTTAAAACGACCTTTAATTCGGCTTGAAGTGAATGTGACATCTAAGGCCTCACTGCTAGCCTTAGTTACAAAAGTGTCTTCACTACCTTTGTTTAAGATCTGTTGATGTTATATATTCTAACAAGGTTTCACCTTGCTCATTAGTATCTGTACTGCCCCACATATGATGGGCATTTATATCCCCACCTATTAGGAATGGAAGGTCCTCTTTTTTTGCTAAATTAAAAAATCAATCAATATATTTATATATAGGGTCTAAGTTATGAGGAACATAAATAGATCCAACTATCATTTTAATCTTATTACTGCCTACCTTGGTGGTCAGGTTCAAAGCCACAGCATCTCTTGAATTCACCTGAGGGAGTGCCAGTATATGCAAATCCTTGGAGGCCAATATGCATGCCCTAGGTTTGTCTTCAATTAGGAGAGGTCAGATGATTCTTCCTCCTGTTCCTTCTAAGCCTTTAATCATTCCCCTAAAACAATAAGGTTCTTGTATTAGAAGAAGGGTGGATTTCACCCCTGTAATAAGCTTAGCTAATTTAGCAGTAGCCAGTTTATTGTGTTTCATATTAATCTGTTTTACGTTTAGCATAGTGGGCTCCATTGCTGACAAGGGGAGGTAGGAAGTACAGGAGCCTAATGGCACCTGCTCCTCCTGTGAAGGGTTTCTGGATCTTGAGGCTGTTGGTGGTGCCTTCCAAACTGTCAAGTTAACTAGCTCGTACTTAATATACCATTCATGAGCATCAAACCATCCCATCGAGATACCTGGCACCTTAAACATCACTCTCAGATGTCCTGGGTCGCCTGATAGCCAGAATCATTGAAAGCCAGAGACCTCTTTCTGGGGTGTGGCTCATTATACCTAAGGTTGATTTCAGGTATGAGGAGCCTGTATATGAATTGCACCTCGTCCTGTGAGATAGGCTTGTCCTCCCAGCTGCAGCGTCCCTGTAGGATTAGGAATTCCTCTGATCCAACTGAGTGCCTTGCTGTGAGGAAGGTCCAGCGTTAGAGTCGTTGGACCTTCTAGGTGATTGCTTTGACCTTTTCTCGTCTTGCCGGCGTGTATCCTTTAGAGGAGACTCTTCTACTGGTCTCTTTCTTTTCGTTTATTAGATGGCAAGGTTGACCCTTGAAGAGGACGCCCGTATCTGTCTTGCCAGAGAAGGGGTACTTAGATGACAAGTCTCTTTTTCCCTCTCCATATCGGCTCTAAGGGGGTTCTGAGGAAGTTTCTCTCCTGTATAACTAGAGGGATACGACTCATGGTACTCCCTGATGAATGAGGCTGCCTATGGGAAGCTGGGTCACAAATAGACGTTTGATGCCCCTCTCTAATGGCCACCCGTTTAGCTTCCCTTTTGATTGCATATGCTCGCCTTTTGTTTTTGTGATACTGCTTCTTCTTCAATTTGGCCTTTTTTATTTTTTCGACCTCTTCTTTTGAAACACTATCTGGGGAGAATTGACTTTGTGTCCCTCCCCTGTTCTGTCTCGGTCTACCTAAGTAGAGTAGACTCTCTGTCAGAGTCCACCCTTTGGCTTAAAGGGCTAGATGGGAGCTGGTATGGCCATACCACCCTGTCTTGTCTGGGTTTAACTTCCTGCCAGCTCCCTCCTTCCGTGTCTAGTGAGACTTGTGCAGTCTATGAGGACTGCTCTGCCTCTACTTTCTTTGCAGCTGGCACGTTAGGCTGCTCATCCTCCTTGCTTTCCATTGGTTTATTAATTAGGTGTATTGTGTTAAATGTCTGATGTTAGGGTATGTATGCTGCCGTCCCAGCTCCTACCCCCCTTTCTTATTACTATAAGAATTAATGTTATTAAATTTTTTAGTAAAAAAAATGTTTTTTACTTTATGTAAAAAATTAATTCAGCTGAATGACTTATTTTACACTATACACATGTTTTCTCTAAGTTCTCCAAAACTATAAATATGTTTTCTCTCTTTTGAAATGAAACTCTGATTATATTTAGTACAAAATGCAATTAATTGATTTTTTGCATAGGATTTAAAACCATCAAACATTGCTGTCAATGCAGATTGTGAACTGAAGATACTTGATTTTGGTTTGGCACGACCTACAGAGAATGAGATGACTGGATACGTTGCCACTCGTTGGTATCGAGCACCAGAAATCATGCTAAACTGGATGCATTACAATCAGACAGGTACATTAAAGTTCCCATTTTCATTATTATTTTTATGTATATTTAATGGCTTATTTTATTTTTTCTTTAATATGTTTTCAGTTGATATATGGTCTGTTGGTTGTATCATGGCTGAATTACTTACAGGCAGGACTCTGTTCCCTGGAAACGATCGTATCCTTCAATGTCAAATAAAGTTCTTTATATATTTTTGATATCAATTGATTTATGATGTATCAATATCATTAGTCTATGGAAAATGGTAAATAATTAATTCTTCAATTTCAGATTAAGAGAAAACAAATGTCTGTATCCATGAAAAACTTCAATATCAGAATTAACATATAAATTTAAATTTTCTTTTAAGTGAATGGACTGCATTTTTATCTGAGAGAACTCTTGTTTCATGAGATTGTAAAAAAAAAGGTCCATTTATATTTTCTTTCCACTGTAATGTATGGAATGTATTATAATACAATCAAAATTTCAATTTTTAGTTTTCAATGGATCTATGAATTTTTGAAATATGTGTCCAAAAATAATGCCTAGTCAAATTAGCACAAAAAAAAAAATGGGTCTGGCTTGTAAAAGGTCGGGTATTCAAATTTCTTTTTTTTTTATTGTTTGGTTTGTAGTATATATACCAAAATTTGGGAAGGGAACATATGACGATCCCTAGTCTTTCAGGCCGATATGCATGTCATCTTTCCTAATGAAAACTTTGGAAAAGATTTTGAACAGGCATATTAGAGAACAACTGTTGACTTTAAATCCTTTATATTCATATAATCTAGTCTCTTAGATTTAAAAATCTGTGAGTTAGAAGGAAATGATGATTAGCACCTTTGTTGACATCGAAGGTGCCTTCAATAGGATTCCTTATAATATCATTATGGATAACTGAAGGATAAGGAAAATTGAACCACTTGTTACCAAATGGATTGGTAGCGTGTTGGAAACTAGAAATCTTAAAACAGATCTCAGATACACTGAAATGTGGATTAAGCCTGGAGGGGTTGTCCACAGGGAGGTGTGCTTTCTCCAATACAGTGGTGTTTGGTGAAGGACTCCATGCTTGTTATACTGAATACGGCAAGCTCCTATGCACAGAGATATGCAGATGATATCACTATTATTATTGGTGAAAAACATCAGAATGTTCTTTCTACTCTGTTGAATACTGCGACAGGTGTTTTGGGGAGATGGTGTCATTGTCCATTAGTCTATGTCCAATGGACTGAGTGCCAATCTGGCTAAGATAAATATGTGCATCTTCACTATGAAGAAAAAGGTGACAATAAAGCTACCCAAAATCAACGTCATCCAGCTAACCTCCAGCAAGGAGGTAAAGCACTTAGGTGTTACGTTGGACAATAAAATGAAATGGAATAATCATGTGAAATACACAACTACTAAAGCACTCAAATGTATATTTGCTTGCAAAGATGCTGTTGTGAAATCAAACCACAAATGGTCTACTGGCTGTATGTTACAGCGGTTAGACCTATGCTTTTATATTCAATTATTTTCTGGTGGAAAAGAGCAAGCATTGGCCACAACAGGATACAGCTGGAAAAACTACAAAGATTAGCCTGTCTTATGAAAACCACCTGGACTGCAGCTATGGAGGTACCTTGGTTTTTATCTCATGCAGCTGGCGATAGAAATACAGGCCTTGAAAACATTCTATAGGCTACACAAATTAAACTTATGTTCGAAGGTAAATACCCTTGAGGGACATTGGAAAATATTTCAAAGAGTTAAGGAAGATGGGGTGCTTGCAATGCACTCTGATACTAATAAAGTATTATAATGTAAATATTGACATTTCAGGGAAACATAAACCTATTAATGGGAATAATTGTTACACTGGTAGATCATTAATGACGTGCGGTTCTGGTTTTTGGAGAAAGGGCGAACGAGAAGAGGGCATGTCTATATCACTTGGTAAATATGCAATGGTATTCCAATGTGAAATACCGGCGATATCTCACTGTCCCAAAAAGTTGTTGTTTGATGGGTTGGTGGAGAGGAAGATCTCCATCCATACTGACAGTTAAGTGGCAATACGAGTGCTGGGCAACTATACAACTAGATCTAAGGCTGTTAAGAACTGTGGTATAATTCTTAACAATTTATCTAGGTCTAATAAGATAACCATCGAATGGGTATCAGGACACTCTGATATTCATAGAAATGAGATGGCAGATGAATTAAGGTGGAAAAGGCTCACAAACAACTCCCATAACTCTCAAACATATTCGCTGCATTAGGATGTGTCTAATCAATAGCAGAATCAGAGAGGTAAATGGTGCTGAAGCTAAGAAATATTGGTGCCTGAAAAAACTGTCTCGCTCAAGGTTGTTCTTGGATGGAATCTGTGAAAAGAGAAGCAATCTGCTACTTAACTTGAGCACAAATTCTCTCAAGAAAATTTATAGCAATACATACTAGTCACTATAAACTGAATTATCATATGTTCAAACTCGGGCTTACAGAGTCGTCTCTTTGTAGGTTCTGTGGTTAGGCGATGAAACAGCTTATCACATCACTTGTTGGTGCAACAGGTTTGCCGAGTTAAGATTCCGTTTATTCGGTAATGATAGGGTGTCTGATCCCATGACTAATAAAGCTTATCAATCTAATAAGCTTACTTCAGTTAGTAGAGACTGCTGGAATAATGCTCTGAATAAGAGCGACACTAAATTGGACCTACGATAGGCCTTCTTGCCTGCAGTGCTTTCTGCCACAAAAAAAAAAAAAATACAAGTTTCCATCCTTGAAAGCCTTGTGGGTTTGCTGCAGTGCTCCAAAAACCATTGAAATTTCAAGCTTTTTTTGGTTTAAGCTAAATATCTCCTTTTTAAAGTGACATTGATAAAAATGGTTATATTTAGTCTTAAACAACTTAAAATTATATACCATTTTTGTACATAACATTTTTTCTAAACCCAACAGGAAGTGAACTAGCTTTCAAAATGAGCAAAATTTTGAAAATTCGCAAAAAAAAACATACCTAATTTTTTGTTTTTAATTATCTGTTTTTGTAGATGACGTAACTCAAATTTTTAAATATCCTATAAAACTATTATAGGAAACATATTTCTCTATACAAATGGCTATAAAGAAGTTAATGTTTTAAAATTAAAAAATAAAAACTTCTAATTTTATTTTTACTGTTTTCCACTTATTTTGATGAAATTGGTGATCAAAAGTTACTGTGTTTTTTTCTTACTTTTAAATGAACTTTATTCTAACACATTTTTTAATAATTAATATTATCCAAATTACATACTTCTATGTTTTTACGGATTGCTACCATCTCTAGACTGTTCGATTTTTTCACAAAAATTGTTTTGGACAGTTAAATTATTGTATTAATATTTGTTTCTTAATACAATCAAAATAATGTAATCAAAACGTTATTCTAACATTATTACTATGCCATTTATGAGAACTGATTAATGTGGCCGGGGCCTCTAGGTGCCTATACCAGTGCCGCTTTTCAGCCGATTAAGTGTATTTTCTATGTAACCACTTCAACTATTTTAAAATGAAATCAATTTTATAGAAAGAGAAATGTATTCTCCAGATGTTTTATTTGGGGGCTTTTTTCGTTATTGTTGGCCGTTTATTTCAAGTTTAGTTTGAACAACTTGAAAAAATTAACTTTACTGATGTTTTTTATTGCCAAGGCCAATCATTTTTTTATATGTTTTTCTCTAACTATCCAGCCTCAATATAAGGCCAGTTATGACAAAATTACACTATATTCAGCTGTACTCATTATTTTAATTTGCAATCACTCAATTCATTATATATAGCAGCGTTTATTAATATTTTTATGTGAAACAGAGAAATTTTCATGAAAAATCTGTGAAAAAATGGGAAATGTACAGGAATTTTTTGGAGGAGTATCACTTGACACCCTATTGAAGTAAAATATATCTTTTTTTATGCACTTATTGGTTAAAAGATAATATATCTGACACCTAAGAAGGTTCTAAAAATTTTCTCAGAAATTCATGTCCCAAGATCGCACATCTGTCTAAAGTGGTATTTTCCACTTTCAGTTAGACATAATTCTTAAAATATGATGATGGGATTATCATTTTGTAAAATAAATTTATCTTCAATTAATTATTTATAGCATCAGATAAAATTATAATATTTATTCAAATTAAATTATTTGTTTATATTACAAATATTATTTTCTTAAAGAAATTGATGAACAATCCTTAACCCTTTTACTGCCAAATAAAAGTATAGCTAAAGTTAAAAATAAAAAAAGTATATCAAATAGACAACACACTAGAAGGATTAATATTCAACCAATTATCTGTATTTTCTATTTACTAGTTCATAGATATTCATCAGCTTAATCTCATTATGGAAATTTTGGGAACCCCCGATGCTGACTTCATGATGAAAATATCTAGTGAATCAGTAAGAATTTCTTGTAGTTTATTTTCATATTTTAAACTTTAAAAAATTACAAAATATTCCATTAGGTTAAAATTAACATTAACTTCTTGTTTTAAGACTTCATGTTTATTAACATTTTTTTTTAGCTTTTGCCATGAGGGAGGATATATAATTGTTAAGTCAAGAAAAAAATGCTATTAGACTGGCTCTGCAGTTATGTTTTGTGGGGAAATTGAAACTTCAGCTGTGCATGCTGCTTATGACATGTAAATAGAACATATTAATAGTTCTGGAAATGGTTGCATGAACCTCATGGTTGCATGTCTGTCACTTTTTTTTGTCCTACATTTTGGATTAGTTTGGTCAAACAATTCAAGCGCTAATGAAATCATACGACTTATTAATTTTGTTACTTTCTTTATTCTGTTGTTTTTATTCCTATTTCATTCTTTATTAATTTAATGTTGGGTATCTTTTCTAATACTTAAGGCTATGATATAATTCAAGAAATGTATGCTTCAGATTTGGTATACTTTTTGTAATAAAATTAATTTCATCTCTATGCATGATTATTGCAGAAAAATTTTCTGAATTCGAATTTTCTATATGGTTATTACCAAGCTTATTTGTCCTACCTAAAAATATTATTGTCAAATCATGAAGTCATACTGTTATAACTAAATAATTCACTACGATAATGGGCAAATTTTAGTTCTAGCTGCTCAAGAGACTTGCATGTATTGTATTTATTTCATTTTGCCATATAAAATAGAATTTTGTTTTCTCTAATTATCATATTATTTCTAATTTTATTCCTTAAATTCTGCTCTTCCAATAATTAGTAAGTGTTATGTGCTTTTTAAATTACCTCTGACGAAATATATCCATTGTTTACTTCTTGCGATCTGTTAGGTACTAATGATTTTGCTTCTATTCATATAGTCAGTTTCAAGTACTACTGAACATAGCCTAAATCAAATAGCACTGAATATAATATTATACTTCCTTCTATGCCTAAGTCAAAAACTTGAATGTCTACCCTTCATGGTTCAGTTTATTTATTTACTATTGGTTTGCCCTTACCCATTCTAATATGTCAACATTTCCATAGTTTCAACTATATAACATTTACTAGACACCAGCATTACCAACTGAGACAAACCCAATTACCAGGCCCAACAATTATTAAATACTTCATATTTTTAAAGGCTCTGTCAGGGTAAGGTAGGCAAATGTGCCCCAGAGAGATATGAATGGCTGCCGATTTACACTAATGGATACTCTTACCAAACATTCCTTTCGTCCAAGATTAAAATATCTAGTACCCTCCTATTTTCTATTACCAGAACAAGCACCTTAAATTGCAATAATGTTGTCATTTTTTTTTCTTTCATATTTTTAAAATAAATACTCTGTCAACAAAATTTCTCAATCTTGCATAAAACAGGAGTCTCAAAACTCTGGCCCATTGGCCCCGCAAACACCTCCAATCCGGCCCACAAATTTTCTTTGTTTACATGATAAGATCCTAAAAATGGTTTTAAAAAAGTGAAATTTAATCATGGTCTGTGGGATTTAGCGAAGGTCTCAAAGTCATGGACTTTACATTGATTATTGACAGGAATTTTTGGTTATGCTTAACATTTGGAGCACTGTATTCAGTCACTGTTTTCCTGGAAATACTAAAAAAAAATTTCACGGATTTTCAAATTAAGGAGTTTTGGAAGACTATAGAAACGGGGAGCCACGGAGTTATAAGATATGAGGTTTCTGTAAGTAGGGTATGTGATTTGTTTGGAGTGTAAGAGGTTTCTGATATGTTGGTTAAATTGGATTTTTGGAACAAAAAAAAAAAATGTGTATGTTTGGAGAAAAACTACTAAAGTTCTACAGAGTGTGGAATTGGACAAATCTTAGTTATAGAGTATCTTTACCTGAGCCATATTGACTCCTGAGCCACCCCTAAATTTTTCAGATCTTTCAAAATGGTACTACTTGTTAAAATCTTTAAAACAAAACTTCATTTCTCGAAGTTTGAGTGTATTTATTTTGTTTAAACTTTCCTTCATTGGGTGAAAAAAAGTTTTTAATACAGTTCAATATCCATAAAAATTTAAATAATATTGAGTTGGCAAATAAGTCCTTTCGGGTTTTCTGTTTATTTTTATATCACTATGGCAAACTTCTTATCTGATGAATTAATCCCTAAGGTGGATTGTTTATCCTGTTTTTAATATGTCAACAACTATATCTGTTAACTCTTGTTGAAACTAGCTTAATGACTGTGAATATGGATGAAAATATCATTCATTATCACCATATTTTGTTGAATTATTTTTAAAAAGCAGTGTTTATGGGGATGATGCCTTAACCGAATGCATCTGTCAAAATTGGTTTGCCAAATTTCATTCAGGAAATTTTGACATCAATTATGCTCAACAGTCTAGTCACCCACATGAAATTGAAACGAGAAATGTTAAGGCCATTTTTAATCAAAATCCCACCCAATCAGTGCGAGAGATTGCTATGGCCCTAAATGTGTCGCACACAAGCGTAGAAAACCATTTGCACAAGCTTGGCTATGTTTCCAGGCTTAATGTTTTCGAAAATCACAAAAAAATGTTATAATTTTAATACGGCTTTAGCTATCTACAAGAAATTTAGGGCACATAAACTACACAAAATGACATCAACAGGAACTTCGTAAACAAACTACAAATGGAGATAAAAAATAAAAACCTATAAGGAGTTATTGTTTATTTATTCCTTATGTAGGCATTGAATAAAAAAAAAAAATCATAAGGCTTTGAAGAGCAATAATTCAGCTTTACAACGGATATAGTATCATCAAATTTGGAGAACATCCTGAAGAGTTATGAATGATCGGAAGGGTGTTGTGTTCCACCAAGACAATGCTAGGCCCCACCCCTCATTGGTCACTCGCAATAAATTAGTGAGCCTTGGATGGGACCTTTTGTCCCATCCTCCCTATTCACCAAACTTAGCTCCAAGTAACTACCAGTTATTCTGGTCTCTGCAGAACTCCATGAATGGAAAGATTTTCCAAAAGAAAGAGGACATCAAAAACCACTTAGATCAGTTTTTTAACAATAAACTCCAGACATTCTATGAACATGCTATGCAGTTAGCGGAAAGGGGAAAAAAATCATATTAAATAATGGTCAATATGTTGTAGATTAAAATAAATTGTATGTCTATAATACATTGAGTTTTATTTCACCCTGAAAAACCAAAAGAACTTATTTGCCAACCCAATACATTAACATAAAAAAGAAATAGTTAAAATTAATGTAAGTGATGTTTTAATTTTCATATTAGAAAGTTGTGTTTTAAAATAATATGTTCTTCCCCTCGTGCTGATCTCATTACTGCATAGGGGAGTGTCACACGGGTGGCAGATGTCAGGATGGTGGATAGAAATTCCTTGGAAGTGCCTCCTGGCCAAGTCCGATGGATTCGCTGACCAACAATGAGAGTGACCCCCAGGCTTGCTGGAGGGTTTGACATAGTGTTGAACTCCCTAAGGTAAAACGCTCATTGTTCAAAGGTAAACTAGTTTCCTGTTTGGGTCTCCAAGCGAGGACTGCTTTAGAAGATTCGTGGCACAAGTTACAAATTAAGAATTTAGTTATTGTTAGGTGGAACTTAGGGAGTTGGAATTCATCAGGTCAGTTAAAATTGGTTGCAAACATGGTTAATGGGTACAATTTGGATGTCATGGCACAGATTGCAAAGTTCATTGTCTACTATCCCGCAAATCTTTAGATGCCTTTTAAGTCTGCAGTGACCTGTTAGTACTCCAATGATTAGTCAGATTTCCTTTTTAGTTAGGCCCAGCAGCCACTTAGTTTTGGAGGGGGAGGAGCTTTTGATAAATTGTTTGGCTTGTCTAAGCCCAGTGCATTCCTCTTTTCCAAATCCAATCAAGGACTTTTTTCCGCTGATGTTTTTTGCAGATTCCGGACCTATAATAGGAAATTCTGCTCCTTTCCTTGCGAGGGTATCGGCTTTTTCATTGCCTTTAATTCCCTTGTGACCAGGAACCCACACTAGTTCCACTCTCTTAGAGCAGGCCAGTGTCTCCAAAGTATGTTTACACTCCTGTACTACTGTGGAGGTCACTGGGAGATTCCAATGTTTGTAGTGCCAACTGACTATACGAATAGATAGTGCTGCCAGCACTCTCGAAATTAATAACTTCTAGACAGGTAGCTGCAGAAAGTATAGCAAACACCGCTTGAAATAATGCTGTAGCATGTTTAACTAATGGTATGCTTAATTCTATATTTAGGTTCTCTATATAGACTCCTGCACCCGTTAAGCCAGTTAAGTCTTTCCTTGACCCATCAGTGAAACAAGGCAGTTAGTCCTTCTGAATTTCTATTGAATCCTGTTTCCAATCTATTTTATTGGGATACAAGTAGCTAACCTTAGTGTCTAGAGTAAGTCTTTTACCAAGCGACGGAGAAAGATACCGTAAAATATGTAACTCTTTTTCCACCACCCTGGCTATTTCTAAGTGGCCGGTGTGTGTCCCTGTTGCTTGCCAGTGTCTGTTATCCTTCATTCTTAAAAATGCCATGACTGCTTCACCTATTTATTATCCATAGATGTAGCGGAATCAATGACAATAAAACTTCCAGCGCCTTTGTAAGTGTTGTGCGGAATGCCTCTGTAATACTAATGCAGACCATTCTTTGTATGGGACATAACATTTGCATATGAGAGGCCTTATTAGGCTTCCCACCACAGCACACTTCCATATATATTGTATACTAGATCTAATTATTGCTGTATATATCCAATGCATGACTTAAGGGTTAAAACCCCAAGTTATGCCTACAGCACATATCTGCCAGAAGGCTTTTATGGTTTTTCTTTTAGCTTCTGCCAAATGTGGTCCCCAGTTCAGTTTAGAATCTGTGGTAATACTAGGGTATTTGACATTCTGCCTCGCCTAACTGTATCCGGTTAATATAATGGTGGTGATTACATTGTGGTGAATAAAATTGTTGGGCTTTGTAACAAAGAATCCCTAAAAAGTTAATATTTGCAGTGCTGATTGGTAAATGTTTGAGGGGTATATGAAAGTAAAGGTAGGAAGATTGCATTAAAGCAGATCTGATGGATTTGGACGGCGGTCAGTGGAGGGAGGTGTTTACAGGGATTGGTCGTGTCGGCATCGAATCTTTGGGTTCATTTAGCCTTTTATTTTTTTAATGTGTTCTTCTGCATTAGTATATAAGAAAAGTATGTTTGTATGTCTGAAGCAAGCTGTACAGGAAATATAACTTGTTTCTCCTGAAACTCGTTTATAAAATGTTGCAGTCTGCATCTACAAGCATTTTCACCTTTAGTCCTGGTATTAACCAGGTTTTGTTTTATCTGTATTTATTTTAAAATCTAATTTTTTATAGCATTATATTAAGATTTACAGCTTCTGCATCATTGTATAACAATACTTATTAATATTCAATCTAGTTTATTCTATATATAAATATAATAAAATATTTTATGTATAGATTAACTGATAGTTCTTTATAGGTTTCATAGCTAATCACACAACTTAAAAAAAATTTGCATATTTGTACTTCTCTGTAAAATAACTTGATTAACTTCATTGTATTCTAACTAGTTAAAATATTAGGTATTTCTTGTTTTATAAAACGTATATATAAGAAATATTAGAAACATTTTTGCAATCAATAAAATAAAGTACTGTTTTACTATTATCAGGCCTACTGAAAATACAAACTGTGAATAGCCACCCTCAGATGTTCTAATGTTACCTCCCTTTTTCTTCAGTATCATTTGAACCATAGATGAGTGATGTAATATCAAATTGTTTTGTCTACATTGTTTATTTTACCAACCATTAGAATGCACCACTTACAAATTATCCCTTAAGGCTTTGAATCATTATTATGATCTAGCTGAGTATTATAACTCATTGGAGTATATTATGCTTGAATTGGAGACACATTAAAAATTATTTTATTAACTTCTATTAGGCTATGTCTATAATCATCCATTAATGACCTAATGTTGGGGATCAAGTAAAAATGAAAAGAGTTTATTTATTTTATGTTTATTGCTTTTTCACTTTAACAAAGAAAATTTTGAATATGTTTTATTTCAGATAGTAAATAAATATCTGTACTATTTAATTTTAAAATGAGAAGTTCAATTCATTTTCACACTAATTTTTTAAAATATTTAATAAGGTTTTGTAATTTGAGTTTTTTCTTAGTGACTGCATTATTCACAATGAGTTTGTATCTGCTTCCCCTGTACTTTTCCTGAAACAATTATTCATTTGTGAATTTTAGTAACTTCTAGTAGTGCCACTCTGCCCAATAATTCACTGCTAATGGCATTCTGGATCTATATTTCAAAAAAGGAACACTTTTTGCAGTTCACTAAGGAGGTAGTGCGTCATCCACCAGTGGTTACTTACCCTTGAGACACCTCACTGCTCAATTATTGAACATACCTTGTTTGACAGTCGACTTAATAGGAAGAATCGACATGCATGTACCAATCACCAATTCCCCATATTCAACCCCACTCATACCTGGCAGCAATCGTATTATAATCAAATATTATGAGAATATCAGTTTATCTGTCAAATGAAAATTAATTATATAACTTGTTATAGTGCATCTAAGATAAGTTTGTGTGTAGGGGAATGAAGCTCCAAGACCTCTCTCCAGCTTCACTTCCCTTCTTCACCATAGCAACCACCTTATACCTTGAAAATGTTATTTCATTTTCTTCAAATTTCGCACAAATGTTTATTGAAGGTAGAGATTTTAATTAAAAAATAAAATAAAACAGTGGCAAGTATGGTTAAATAATCAAATTAAGAAAATAAAAAAAATACTCCCATCCGCTGTTTTAATGACTTTATATACATTCAAATTACATTTTTGTCTCTGAGTAGATACTTTCCTTCTACCCAGTTTACTCGATATAATATACGAAAATTGGTAAAAGAAATATCTAGTTGTAAAAAAAAATTTTAGAAGTACATATGAATGAGTAGAGTAGACAAAAGAGTGGGGGGATTGACGCAATAATGTTTTGCCACTTCTCATCTCTCTCCCGCTCTAACCACTCGCAAACTTATCTTAGATGGAGTCTATATATCCATCTGTTTGTTTGTTTTTATTTTAAATTTCAAATCTCCTTTAACTATAATGTTGAGGCCTATTTAAGTAAATACCCTTCATATAACTTTTTGGGGAGGAAATTTATTTAATTAAACCAAATTAATAATCAAGTATCTTCTGTAATAATCCTCTGCTGTTTTTTTTTTTTTTTTTCTTAACTACAACTAATAACATTAGACTGGCACTTTTTGTTTTATTTGTAAGTGAAATGCCATATAGAGGTTTATATTATTTTATAAATAGCTTGTATATACACATCTTTTTATTTAATGAGCCCATCAAGTATCGTCCTTGTTTTAGGCCCGTACATACATACAATCTTTGCCTGTAATGAGGAAAAAGAACTTTAAAGATGTGTTTAGAGGTGCTAATGCTGCAGGTTGGTATATTTTTTCTTAATAAATTTGAGAGCAAAATTATTTTGATCTTGAAAGAATTATTAATGATGAAATCATGCTATTTTATTTATTACTGTTGTCATTAAATTTCATAGATATTGTATTTTCATTATTTTATTAATGATAACATGTCATATTTTGTAAATGATGTGAGGTATTTTGAATCAAAACCTGCTGAAAATGTTTCAAGGGATTTGTATATCTAATTTTAACAGTATTCTTGAAATTTCGATTATTCTTTCATCTGTGAATCCCTTGTAAAATTGTAAAACAAGATTTAGTGGGTTTCATTCTCAAGGTCTCATTTATTCTTACTTTAAATTATTAAGTTTAGATAATTAATGTTTATTAGGAAATTTCTCTAACTATTTTAATTTCTTAAATAAATACTAAGTTCTAAATAATTATAATGAGTTCTTTATTATTCATTCCATTTTTTTAGCTATTAATTTGCTTGAAAGGATGTTGGAACTTGATCCTGAAAAAAGAATAACAGCCGAAGAAGTCTTGGCTCATCCATATCTCGCACAGTATGCTGACCCATCAGATGAACCTGTTTCACCTCCATTTAATCAAAGTTTTGAAGATATGGATCTATCTGTAGAAGAATGGAAAAGTAATTACAGCTAATTCATACACATTATTTATTTACTGTAATTTTTTTTAGTACAGAACAGTTGTATAAATAAGAAACCGGAATTTGTCAATAGATTAACTAGTTGTTAATGTAGTAACCCGTTAAACTGCATTGTTGGCACCATTTTAATTCTTCAACCACTGGCAAAGATTTTCAACTCTCAACAATTTAAGTTTCATATAACATCATTGTTTTAATGGTGTTGAAAATGTTGAGTTTTGTACCTACAAACTACGATTTGCAGACAGCATTAGTTTTCTGTTACCTTATAAAGAAAACTGCTGCAAAAACGCATCAAATGCTTGTCAAAACTTATGGTGAGCATGCTCTTAGTGTGCACAGTGCTTTGTGTTATTTAAAAGTCAATAATGAAGGTTTTAATATAAAAAATAAATAATGTGGAAAACCTCTGAAAAATTTAAAGACATTGATGAGCTGCGAAAACCGTTAATATTCAACACTATTGACAACAAATGGAAAATTATCAATAGACACTATTTCAAATAAAATATTTTTTAACATTTTTATATAATAACATTTATATTTTCTATATGAAAATTCCAGTTTTATATTTACACAGTGGGTATTGTGCTGAATTGATTATGGTGCTGTTCCATTCTTTGAGATATTCCGACATTATTTTTCTCAATATAGGTAAGGAGATAGAGAATGGGAAATCTAATGTCTTAAATAGTTGTTTATTAAATCATATATATATAATATTTTAGTTATGATTTTTAAAAACTGGGTAAAATTCAATAAATTCTCTGTTACTTCAAAACTCTAGATTATGTTATAATTATTTCAAATATTTACAGAGCTTGTATATGAAGAAGTGACGACTTTTACACCTCAGTGCCTACCAATACCTCAGGAACCAACTGGAGTTTCACATTCATAGCGTATTTGGCTTGTGTATATGTATACGTACAATAAGAAATTTTGTATTGTGTGACAATGGAAATTCTTGTTTTAAAAAGTTAATGTTTTTAATATATTATTTATAGATTTAAATTTATAGTCAGTGAATTATAGAAAGTTAGATTTTTTTTTTTTTTAATTTGTTGTTATGAAAGTTGGTATGAATTAAGAAGCAATGAACTTTTATTTTTGTAGTACGATAATATTCAAGAATTTAGTGCATTATTAATGCAAACTTAATCTATTGACTTTGGTTTTGTACATTCAATTATAAAGTGCTAATCATATTGATTAATATTACTTGGTATTATAACTGATTTTATTTTGATTGCCATCTCTTTAATATTTATTATCTATAAACTATAAATCAACACCTCTGTTGATTAGATAACATTAATAGGGTGGATATTTGAAGAATGCGTTTATAGGAAATATTCACAATTTTATCTTTTGTGCCATACTTCATGATGAAATTGAGCCATTTATTAACTTTAAAACTATTATAAAAAATACTGGTTACAATTAGCTTCCAGCCATTTATTGTTAATGATACTTGCACAAATGTTTTGAATTGTTAATAATCCACAAGTGGATACAAAAAATTAATAAAACTTAATTTCTCTTTCACCGCACAAAAATAAAAACCATCATCAGACAACATTGGTAATGTAAAACCCAATAAAAATTAACATTATAATATAAATATGTATATATATTACATAACAAATTATAAAATGAGCCAATACAAGACTAAAATCATGATTATGTTTAAGAAATATATCATCAATAAATGTATTTCTAAACCAATTTTGTTTGTCTGTTTATATTTTAACTCTATTCCTAGCATTCTAAAGATATTTTAATGTTACCAAAGTTCATTAGTATTTTTGATAAATAAAATGAAATTCATTAGCTCATGTTCTTGCTCTTTCTTTGTTATTTTTTATTTCTTCTCCTCAATCTTACCTGTAGATCAAATTTAAAAAAAAAAAAAAAGGTTGTGAACTTTATTTTTTCTTATTCTCGAAGAATTGTCTACCAAGACATGGCCTCCTCATCACAACGATCCCTCTACATACACTTCGCTATTTGTACATGAATTTTTTGTCATCATTTGATCTTGTTTCCCTAATATTAAATTTTCTAACATTTTTGTATTAACATCGCAGACAAACCTTGTATTTAACTTAATAAGAATCTGATGATAATGTTCAGTTCACAGTATATTATTTACATAGTCATTAACACTGTTTAAAGTAAGAAATTTTCAAGAGTATAAGGGATGCTAAAAATGTTTTGCTGCCGAGGTTTTAAACAATGTATAAAATACTGCTGATTTAGGTATGAAACACATTGCTGCAATTCTATAAGAATGACTGAATTCACTGGAGGTCATATTTTGATTTTTTCTAATTAAAATGACTAAACATTAATCCTTGCTGATTTTTGATATTACCTTTAATCTAATATATACATATATATATTTATATGTATTATATGTTCTATATATTTTATAGTTAAATGCACAGTGATTTACAAATGAGAAATCTTAAGAATATTGACTGGAAAAGATTGTTGAACATAGCTCATGAAATTGTTCTTTATTTTATTTTATTTTATTTTTCCTATTTCCTTTTTCATTCTCCATTATAAATAGTTCAGATTTTATTTTAAAATATGCTATTCAAAATTTATTAAATTTAAGAATAAAATAAGTTGTTTAATTCAATGAATAGCATTTCTTCATTTTCTGTTTATAAGATATAAACAATGTTAAAATATTAACCAAATGAAAGTTAGGTACATAGTTGTAACACTTATAAGTTTTAGAGCTTGAGTTTTGGAGCTCCACTAAACCATCAAATTCCTCTTGTATCCAATCCAAAGTCCTTTATAAAATCCTCAAGGCTCTATACTTTGTCATGAATAAATCATCCATAACATCTTTAATGTTCCATATGTTTTCTATATGGCCCAATCCAAATATCTATCCTTCCATAATAAAATTCAGAACAATCCAAACCCTCTTGTTTCTAACCTTGCTTTCTCTTCGATTACTGATAACTAGGTTGAAATGAAATTTTTATGGAACTTTTCATGAGCCATGTTTTCTCAGTTCTGAAGAGGATCTCATTCTGTGCATTAGAAAAGAAGGGATTGAAACATAATCAAATAAGAAAGTATCCAAAATTTATGTAGTTTATTAAATTTTAAATTAAATGATCTAATACCTGAAAGGAATAATTATTTCAAAAGATAATATTTAATATATAATTTTATATATATTTATATATATATATATATATATATATATATATATATATATATATAATCCAGAGTTCTTTTGTCATAATTTTACTGCTATATTATCCGAGCTATCATCATTGGTATGGGATTTTAGAATAGTGGAACGTAGTTTATCGTAGGACACATGGGAGAAAAAGTGGTTTGAATAAATATTTTTGTATTTTATGACATTGAACTGGCAAAAGCTACTTGAGGAGGCCAGGACCCGGCGATGAGTTGTAGAACCAATTGAAAAATAATAAATAGAAAAAACAAGTAATAAATTTATATTTTTTTTTTTTTTTCTGGTTGGCGCTACGCCCAGTCAGTGTGAGTTGCCTCCAGTAAGCTGACAGCCTCACATCCCGGGGAGGTCTTGGGCAGTTTTCCCTGGTAGATGGTCTCCCAAATCGGGCGGTCAACCATCCAAGTGCTAACCACGCTCGGCAATGCTTAACTTGGTTATCTATTGCAAGTGCCTTAGCCTGCACAGCTATCCCAGCCCCTTATATATATCTAAGTTTAATGACCTATTATCCGACTATAGTAATTGATTTAACTACAATTATAGTAACTGTTTTAAGCATCCGACTAAAGTAACTGATTTAACCATGCAGATATTGTAGGTGTTTTGGGTTGTCCAGAAAATAATGCAGGATTTTGAGTTTTCTTTAATCTACCCATATATATAACAAACTGTTATGTTTACTGCATTATTCATTTGTATGAATGTCAACACTTATTAATCCTCTTCCAAATGATAACGTTAGTTTACCTGTGTAGGATTTCGATGCTTAGAAATAATTTAGGATTTACTAAGATGTCAACACGTGATTTTGGGCTACACATATATGTCGCAACGCATGATCAGTTACTCTGCGAGAATGGATCGCTGTGCCTATGGTTTGATGAAAAATTTTGTCAAAGGTATGAACCAAGAAGGATGGGCCTTTCCGTGCCTAAGAGATAAATTTCTGAAATTAAGTGATGCAAAAGTTAAGGAAGGTATTTTTGTCACAAATTCGAGTACTTGTAAAGGATCCTTTGTTTGGCCAAGTTTTGGAAGGGAAAAAAAAGGAAGCCTACAAGGGAATTGTTTGTGGATTTTGAAGCAACAAAAGAGATGACAGCTACACGCATTTGGTTACAGTGCTCCTACAAAAGTACCATAACCTTGGAAGCAACATGTGCCTTAAAATCCATTTTCTCCACTCCCGCCTAAACTTTTCCCCTCCTAGTTGTGGAGCTGTTAGTGATGAACATGGAGAAAGATTCTATCAGGACATTTCTATTATGGAACAAAGATATCAGGGCCATTGGAAAAAAGCAATGCTTATGGATTACTGTTGGTCTTTGTGTAGGGATGCTCCAGAACTCCCTTACAAGGGGCAAACTAAAATACGACGATCTCATGAAGCTACCACATAATCTCTTCAGACACGACCATCTGCGAGGTATTCTTCCAGCACTATAGAACTCTTAGAATGTAACTACCAATTTGTAACATCAAATGCACTTTCAATGTTGTTAGCATATATAATTAAAATGTATCTTTTTCTCTTAACCCGTTAATATGAAATACTCCTACCTTACACTTACCTAGTGTATATCACAGAAATTAGAGCTAAGAAAAATTTGTCATTATCATATTCGTTTTTCGACCCATTATCAGTAACCCAAAATTAGTAAGAATTGACTCAGGCTGGAAACATTCAAAAATTTATTTTTTGTTGCCCAGTGTTATCAGTGCAAATCTCCCTCCATGTTTCCATCTCCCTGGAAAACAGGCCTGGTTCAACCTTTGAATAAAACTTCAAACGCTTTCTCACTCCATGACTTCCGTCCTATTTCTCTCCTTTCCAATCTTTCAAAAGCGCTAGAACGCCTCTTCCAAAATCAATTTCCAACTTCCTAGAGGAACATTCCCTAATCTGGCTTCTAAACACAATCTATCCTCCTAAAAATAACCCATGACCTCCAAAACTCCATCGGACACAAAAAACTTACTATCCTTATCCTCCTAAATTTTTCCACAGCATTTGACACAGTTGACCACAACATCCTCCTTACTAAACTGTAAAATCTTCCTCTATCCAATAGTATATTGCATTAGTTTAAATCCTTCCTTTCAGATCAATCCCGGTATGTAGTTGTCCCAGGTCAACCTCCTTCCTCTCTCTTACTCTGTTTGCTATTTACATTAATAACCTTGCCCTCCTAATCCATCATTCTCATATTAATGCCGGTGATTTTCAAATATACCTTTCCTTCCCCCTTCTGACATATAGCCACAAAAAACTTCAAGAGGACTTAAATAGAATCTGTGACTAGGAGGAAGCTGACGTTAAATGTAGAGAAGAGCAAGGCAATTTTGATAGGCTCCAATCACTTCTTTAAAACTGTTCCTAAAACCCCAACCCTGTTCCTATAAGATAATCCCATCAAATTTTATTTCCATTTGAAACCTGTAAATTCAAGATACTACCTTAATATTTCTCCACTTCGAATATTGCTATACAGTATATGGGGGCATCTCGAGGCAAAACTAAAACGTTTGATAAATTGCTTTGTACCTGTGCAAACATCTTCAGGATCCCAAAGGATGGCCTCTGTCTCCCATTTTTATGAAGAACTGAAGTGGCTTTATCCTTCTTACCGTCGTAAGTACTTCCTAGCATCCTTAGCATATAGTAACAGCATCTCCGAGCAAGCTCCTTCAATTAAAATTCTCTGTCTACTACAGCAAAAACCTTTCCCAGTATTTAGATTTGTATACAAGGACCCACCAAACTGCTGCTTTCTTTCGATCTTTCATTATCCGATCCTCATCCCTATAGAATTCTATCCCTCCCTACATCCGTCTCTTCAATACCCTCCCCACCTTTATATCCCGCCTGTTCAATCATCTCTTATCCATTCAGTCCCCATAAAATTGTAAATAGATGTGGTTGTAAATATATATACAAATTACTAGCTCGTTTTAATTGATTAAGTTAGAAGATAACTTTACTTGTTTTTTTTATTTATTAAACGTATTTGTTTTTGTGATTATTCTCTGAGGCTCTAAAGGCAATATTTCTGTCTCTTTACATTATTTTAAAGGAACTTGTCCCAGAATAAATAAAGTATTATTATTACTACTTCTTATTTTGCTTGATGAACAATTGATGTTATATAAAATGTCTATGCATTTTAAACAAACCACTTCCTTCTATTCATACTTGACCAGATAAACATTATATGAAATATCTTGGCAATTTCTACAATGCTCTGGATTTTATAATTTCCCAGCAACATATACATTAAAAGTAGGCAGGGATAATTAATAACTAAACAACTATTTCATAAATAAATCTATTAATAATTTTTACATTTTAAAATTATTGTTTATACAATATCAAAATTATTGATAAACTTAAAAAGATATTATGATTAAGAAGAAAATACAATTTTTTTATATTTACAACAATTATATTTTATGAAAAAAGTTTTATAGTAAATCCTAAACAGTCTACATTAAATTTATGTAAATTTGATTAGTTATCATTCATTTATTAAAACTTTTTAAGCTTTGATAATTTATTATTACGAACCATAGCCATCTTTTTAACCCTTAGCCAATAAGCCTTAGAATCTGGATCCAATTCTTCTAAAGGTTTTGGCTTACCTAAAACATTTATTGAATTAAATTATTTATATGAAAACAGGTTTGACATATGTTCTACTTTATTAACTCTGAAAACCAATTAAAATGTTTCTTATACTTATGGACTATACTTTTGAGTACATTTATTTTGATGATAGTATAGTAGCACAAGCAATAATACAATTTAATCATTTAAGCCACATCTTGAGATTGATAAATGACAAGAGTGTCAATAATTATTTTGTTTTGTTTTTCTTACTAGTTAATGGATATTGGCTGTTTGATTTAATGATTGAAATTTTGGCTAGGATCACACTAAACCATGAGGTTGTCTACCCAACGTGTATTGGATTTGAGTATACCCTAAAGGCGGCCACCATCACTCCTTCTCATTGTTCCATTTTTTACCAACAGGTAGTGAATGAAACAGGCTCCTATAGGTCATTTTCAAAACTATTCTGATCTTGTAATTTTTTTTAAATATTATGTACATAATGTTAACCATTAGAATAGTAGAGAACTTTATTTTTTAAATTTAATTATAATACCTTGATATGATACACCAATAATTAAAATGATTATTTTCATCACACCTTTTAACATTAAAATGGTTGGTAAACTCATATTTTATAATGAGATTTAATAGGATGTATAAAAAAAAATGACCATTTTATCAAATTCAAGATTACAAAGGACTGTAAATATTTTAATCCTATGTAATACTAACCAAAACTTAATAATCCCTTTAGAGCATTCTCTAAACTTGTTTAATTCCAATCGACTTTTTCAAAAAAAGCCTCAGTTTAGTGATTGGTATCAAAGAAGAAACAAGAAAGTGTGCTACAAAAAAAGTGTGCATTACTGGACAAAAAACAACCGCTGAAGCAACTAGTGAAATTATTCAATATGAAGGGGATGTCCGTGACCAGTTGGAAAGGACAAGGACAAGGAAAAACGTAGGAATGGAAGAAGGGCTCCGGGCGATCATTAATCGATATTGATGAGGTTCTGTAGGAAGCTGTTGAGTCAAATTCGTGCACAAGTAATTCTGAACTTGTCAGGGAGTGTGGTGTGTCAAAAGATACTGTTAGTCGCCATCTACTCCCCACGGGGAAGGTGAAAAAGAGCAATAGACAGGTCCTTCATGAACTTACTCCTCAGCAATCAACAAAGTTAGAAATTGGTGAACATTTATTGAAAAACCCTTAAGATGTGAGATTTTACCGGAAGATTGTGACCTGTGATAAAGCGTGTTTACTGGAGAAATCCGAATATCCATGAGCAATGGCTATATCGTGGTCGAACTGCTTTTCTGGTTGCTGCAAGGAAGTAATTTGAAAAAAATCCATACTTTACGTTTTTTGGAATTTTGAAGGTGTTATTCAACACAAATTTATTCCTGATGGATGGCCTATGAATTCTAAACTCTACAGCAAAAAACTGGAAAAATTGTACACAAAGTTGTCAGAGGGTTATCCTACTTTGACCAACCGAAAAGGAATTTTATTCCAACAAGATAATGCTAGTTCCCTCGAACCAAAGAAAAGTTTTAAGAACTTCATGGGTTCAAACTCCTGCCTCATCCACCATAAAGTCTAGACCTCACACAATTGGATTACTACTTATTTAGATCCATGGTCCATTTTCTTAAAGAAAAAAAATTTGATAATTTTGTGGAACTTGAAATTGCGGTTCAAGAGTTCAAGAGAAGATAGCTAACAATGGACTATACTTTTGAGTATTAGTTGTATTTTATATCAAAGAAATAATAATACAAGTATTTGGTTAAAAACCAGTCATTTTACTTTCACTTACGTATACATGTAATATATAGTAAGGGTAAGTATTGCGATTGAGAAAATTTTTGAATCTGAGTTTTCAATGGAAATACATGTTTTGGGGTATCCTGAGTCCAAATAACCAAGTCCCGAAAAATGGTCTGTGTGTATGTTAGCAGTCTAGCTCAAAAACAAAAAGTCATACGAAACTGATATTACGTATTTAAGATAGGTATATGCCTTAGATGTGACAGCAACATTTTCCTTAAAATCGGCTAACCGAAAGTGCCACTTTATATCAACACATTTTCACAATTTTCTCAAAAAAGGCTCTAACGATTTTGATTAAACTCGGTATATCATTGTATAATTAAGTGGTCTTTAATATCAATTAGGTTTTATTCCCATTTATGTCACTTTACAGGGCTTAAATGCTCAATTTTCAAATGCGTCTTCCTTTAAAGTATCTTTAATTCCAACTAATAAATAAAGTACCTCTAGTTTAAATAAATTATTCAGTTACGAAAAAATGCTAATTATAACTTTTGAAAGAATTTGATAAGTTAATAAAGGAGAAAAAAATAAAATGCTTATCCAGGTCGAAAGTGAATCTCTGGAAATACCGGTGAGAAGGTAAACGTCGTTAGAAAGCAGAGAATTTTAGAAAAAACAATATCTAATATAGAAAGTTGTAGAAGGTAACAGAGATAAAAATTATAAATAATATTTTTTTAAAACTAATATTATTTAATGTAAATCACATGTTTTTGTGAAAGAAGAAGTGAAATATAAGAATATTTCATAGATATGTTTATAACCTTAAATATATTTACAGTAGAACTCCAGATCTGATATTATATTTAAATATTTAGGTATCTATCGTCCGTTTATTACAAAAAATCATCAAGTAATATAACCTTTTAGAAAATTAAATTAGTGAATAGTTTAATGAAATTTCCTTTTGTGATATTCCAACAGTATCCACTTACAATTAGTGTGACAACTTTTGACCTATGTATGACAGACAATGTAAATCTCTTAATTCCATTTTAGCAAAACTTCGCAATGAAAAATAATAGTTCAATAACTAACAGTCATACAATCCATAATCAACCGGTGATATAATAAATAAGACTTTTGTTATTTTAATAGTATTTATGATTTGTTAGCTGTAATTTTTTAGATTTAGCTCGGTTAAAAATGCAATTGAAAAATTTTATAATAGCCCAACATGGCCAGAAAATAATTTGTATTCAAAGTTGTGAAAGTGAAAGTTGTGTGTTGCGGCCACCAGATTTTTTCTTTTTATACACCGTATTACATGCTACAAATATTAGTAATAAACTTTAATTTCATCTTTTAATCTTAACTTACTTTATTTTCATGGATGATAAATAGTCAGAACACAGTCATTTTAAGATTTTTATTGTTGCCTTCTTTTCAATGTCATCCCGACATTTTAATGTAACCCCTCTCCTGACTTTGGAAAATTCTGCCCCGACCCTCTTACTTACCTATTTGCCAGTACTTGAACACCTTCAGTGGTAACATGGTTATTAAGACTAAATATTCCATTTCTTATAAATTGATTATGTATATTATTTTTTAGTATAACTTATTACATATTCCATTTGTCTATTTCATGTATTATTATAATATTATATCTCTGATTGTATTAAACAATTTTTCAACCCTGATGATGACCCACGTGCTTGGGTTGAAACGTCGGCAACAATAAAAATCTTAAAATGACTGCATCCTGGCCATTTATCCCCTATGATATGTAGAACAGTCGACTTGACTAACTTCCCTCAGTAACTTTATTTTCATTTCCAATTTTTCAGTCAATAGGCTATTATCAAGGAGAACCTCATTGTAATTAAAAATCACAGTATTCAAAGTACTTGAAATAAAAATATAATTTAAAAATTTACAAGCTAGTCAGGAACAAATAAGAAACATGGGAGGCTTTTGGGCTGCAGCCTCTGGGCCCAAATATAAAAAAAAAAAATTTTCTTTGACCCATATTTGTTTGTATGAGTGATACGAGCCCAATACTTTCACTAAATAATCACTACCACTACCACTTGAAGGTGATGGATGTACCCAAAGATTTTTTTATAACATTTCCTATAAAGAATTTTATTTATGTCATTAATGTTACTATCTCTATATATAGAACTAAGCAACCTATGAAGATATCCATCACTTACTTATATTTTGTTCAATTAATGCCCAAATTATAGCACTAATCCTATTGTGCAAATAAAGCATCTATTCTTGTCCTAACTAAAGTATCAAAGTTCAATTGGAAATTTATATAAACTATTAAATTCTAATTCTTAATGAGTTAGAATGAAAACATAATGAGTTAGAAATATTTTTTTTTTTAACATAAACCTTTCATAAAGGCTATAATTTTAAAGTAAACACTCAATAAAGTCAGAATCGGTGATAATATGTCCGTTTGAGGTTCGTTCGGGTTTAAAACAGGGGGATTCCCTTTCACCTATCCTGTTCAATTTGGCATAAGAACATGCCATTAGGGAGGTAATGTATACCGAAAAAGATTTGGATCTGGGTGGGGTAACGCCCGTGCTGGGCTACGCGGATGATCTGGTACTGTTAAGTGAAGACACGGAGACTATAAAACTAAATACGTCAACGTTAATGAAAGCAGGTAAAGAATTAGGGCTTGAAATTTTTTTTTTTTTTTTTTTATTTCTTTATGACATTTACAACTATATTACATAAATACATCAAGTAAATTTGGACATAATTGATATAATGACATGAATACACTTGCTGAGTAACTACCCAATGGTAGCACTCTAATGATATGACTATATTAGGAGATCACGGGGCCATCTTCTTTTCAGACGCCTCGGAGGGTTATCAGGAATTGAAGAGGAAGCAAGGTTAGAAACGAGAGGGTTGGGATGATTCTGAAGTTTATTATGGAAGGATAGGTATCTGGATTGGGCCAGATCTGAAACATAAGGAACATTAAGATCTTTATGGATAATTTTATTAGTGACAAAGTAAGGAGCATTGAGGATTTTACGAAGGATTTTGGATTGTAAGGATTGGATGCGAGAGGAATTCGATGGTTTAGTGGAGCCCCATAGCTCAACTCCGTAAGTCCAAATAGGTCTTATTATAGTCAAGTATATAAGTCTTTTGTAATTAATGGGAAGTTTAGAGCGTTTGTCTAGTAAGTGCTGAAGTAATCGGAAACGTCGAGCGGTTTCTTGTCGTTTCAGTCTAGTATGAGGATTCCAAGTTAGTCGTTTGTCCAGGTGGAGTCCTAGGTATCGGATTTGCTCAACAGGGATAAGTGGAGTATTGTTAAAGGAAACTGTAGGACAGGAAGTCGTTGGTTTACAACGAAGGGTAAAGGTAATTTGGTGGGATTTATTGGAGTTTATTTTAATGCTCCAGTTTTGACACCATTCTTCTAGATTTATGATGTGTGATTGAAGCATTTGGGATGCAATTGCTGGGTCATTGTTTACTGATAGGATACATGTGTCATCGGCATATGTGGTGATGACAGTGTTGGGAGAGGTAGGGATGTCAGCTGTATAAACTGTATAGAGGATAGGACCTAGGATACTACCTTGAGGAACACCAGCAGACTGGGAAAAAAGGGATGAATAGGCGTTATTGTGATTTACTTTAAAGTATCTATCAGTAAGGTAGGAACGGATAATGAGGAAGTATGTAGGTGGTAGGAATTTTCGGAGTTTGTACAGCAGTCCCGGATGCCAAACTCTATCAAACGCCTGTTCAACGTCGAGAAAGACTCCCGTACAGTACATTCCGCGCTCCAATGCAGAGGAGACTACGTCTACCACACGATGACATTGCTGTATAGTGGAATGGGAAGTTCGGAAACCAAATTGGTGATCTGGGATTATGTGTTTAGAATTTAGGATAGGGTACAGGCGTTTTAAGATGAGTTTTTTCTAGGATTTTGCCCATGATGGGTAAAAGAGAGATAGGACGGTAAGAGGATGGGTATTCTGGTGGTTTTTTGGGTTTGTGGATCATTTTAACAATAGATCGTTTCCAAAGATCAGGAAAATATGTAGAATGGAGTACAGCATTATATATATAAGTAAGGAATAGGATGGCTTTTCGAGGAAGAAGTTTTAGGATCTGGGATGTAATTAGGTCATGTCCAGGAGCTTTACGGGAAGGTAATTTTTGAATGATGTTGGATATTTCTATGGGATGAAATGCTTTGGGTGGCAGAGACATTTGGAGAGGAATATCCAGTTCTGCTTCAATACAATTGATGTGAGTTGAATTAAGGATATCGGGATGTGGATTAAAAGTTTGGAAAAGATGTTGTCCAAATAGTTGGGCTTTTTCTTCGTCGGATTTGGACCAGGTTTGGGAATCAGTAAAAAGTGGGTGATTAAAGTCTTGAAACTTAAGAAGTTTTTTGGTGGTCATCCATAATGATTTGTCAGTGGTTGTAAGTTTTTCAGTAAAATTTAGTAAATTTTGAATTTTGTATTTTCTAATTTCTGATTTCAGTTTGTTAGTCAGTTGTGTGTAATGCGATTTATCTGTTGGGTATCTAGTCCTATGCCACTTCGATCTTGCTCTGCGTTTTTCCTGTAATAAGATGCGAATATGCTGTGGCAAGTTAGTATTTTGTGGGAAGTTAATCTTATTGATAAAGGTGTTATTATTTATACTGTCTGTTATTGATGATATCAGTTTTTCTATGGCACCGTTAATGTCTTCTTTTGTTTTTAGCGGGATTTTGAGGTCTAGTTTGTTTTCCAAATCATCACGAAATTTTTCCCAGTTTACTCGTCCAGTGATCAGTTTAGGAAGTGATGGTTTAGGAGCAAAGTCAGAATGTACTGAAAGCAGAACTGGACTATGGTCTGAAGAAAGGTCATCCAGGGATTTGATTATAGTTTGGGAGGAGGAAATCTGGGAGGTGATAAATATGTCCAGGATATTGGGACGTTTTTTGAGGGATGTTGGAAAATAAGTAGGATTCATGGGCGAGAGGATGGAATAATTGTTGGAAGAAGAAACTTGTGAAAGGATATTACCACGGGAGTTGGATGATCGACAACCCCATCGTTGGTGTTTAGCATTGTAGTCTCCTCCAGCAATAAAGCGCGATCCGAGGGATTGTAAAAAGGATTCAAGTAGGCTGTACGAGAGGGAATTGCCAGGAGGACAGTATACAGCTGAGGGCTTGAAATAAACAAGGATAAGACAAAATATATGGTTAGCTGCAAAAATGGCGATATCGCTGGTGATATTGATATAGAAGGTAACATGTTTGAACAGGTAGAGAATTTAAGGAACCTAGGGTCTACAATAACTAGAAAAAACAAAATCGAAGAGATTAAGGTTAGACTGAAGGTGGGAAATGCTTGTTATTTTTCTGTGACAAAACTACTTACCTCGTGCTTCTTGTACTGGAACTTAAAAATTAGAATCTATAAACCATTATCTTACCTGCAGTTCTTTATGGACGCGAAACGTGGCCGCTTGCATTAAGGGATGAACAACGTCTTAAGGTTTTTGAAAATAAAGTATTGCGTAGAATATTCAAACCGAAGAAGGATGAATTAACGGGAGAGTTCAGACGGTTACACAACGCCAAATTGCGTGAACTATATCCAGGTAATATAATTGAAATGATTTCATCACGGCGAATCAAATGGGCTTGTAAAATTGTTGGGCTTAGTAATGAGAGAATTCCTAAAAGGTTAATATTTGCTGTACTGTTAAACATCCGAAGGTTAGACTGTAGCGAAGGTGGAAAGATTTTATTAAAGCCGATCTGAAGGGACTAGGTTTGGATGGCAAACGGTGGAGGGAGGTGTGTAATAAGCGATTAGTGGTGTCGGCATCGAACCTTCGGATTCGCTAAGCCTTTTATTATTATATAATTTTAAAGTAAGCATAACAAGTTCTTGTTAGTTATTTTTAGAAAACATTATGAAACCTAATTCAATTACAAATGAACAAGAATTAAAAAAAAATTAAACAAATTTCTTGATTTTAAATTGTAATAGAAACTTAAAACTAATTCAATATTACAAATGATTAGTTTCAATATTAAAAGACAGTGCTTTACTAATTTGTGATTTTGATAAAATAATTATGCAAATCTGATAAATTTAACATTTTTAAAGTCATATTATCCGGTATTTTATTTATTCTATATATAAGAGTTGAATTTCATATATTCTAATGGAGTTTATGAACAAAAAAAGGATTGTTTTATTAAATTTCTCTCAAGGAATGTAAATACATATTTTAAACCTTTATCAATAATTAATACCCTCACTTTGAAGATCTGACCCTTGCAATTAAGTCTTAGTTTATCAGTTTTAGTTGAACAAGATTACAGTTTCTTACAAAATACTGGTAATATTAAGACATAATACATATCCTAGTCTGACATCAAATTACAACTCTTAAAGGGGTCCATTTCTACTATCGATGAGAACTTGACAAGTGTTACTCCTACATAAAGAATTGCACCAGAGATTCCGTACCAAAAATCGCCATGTGTATCCAAAGGTAGAGGAGCCAACTTGTCCACTGGGTGAGGATCTCAAGTGAAAAGAACCCATTGGGGTTTGTTTATCTCTTTAGAGAATGCAACAGTCGCAATATAATTGAGGCCCCGGTCTCAATCGAAAGAGCCCCATAAGTTTTGTTTTCTCATTCGAGTGAGTGGAAGTCAGCAGTCACAACCTAAATAAAGAGAGGTAACACTTTTCAATGCTCATCCATTTTCGGGATTCTGATTGCAGTGTGACCATATAATATTGGGTCCATCCATCATGTTCAAATGATTCATGAAGTGAGGTACCAAGAATACTTGAGGTCTTTAAGGTTATGAGTGATACTAGTGTATCTACCACTCCAGAGAATGAAAAACTCGCACATCAACTTAATGAGGTACTGAATAGGAGATTCATCCATTCTGCTAGGGTTAAATCCATAAAGCATGACTAATATAGTCAATTTTTAGTCACTCCTAAACTAAGTTTAGAAATTTAACTTTATTAAAAAAGTTACTAAATGTATCAATTGAAAGTTTCCAACTCGAGTTGTTTTGGATATGTTAAATATCCACTTATTTACAAAGATGTGATTCACCAATAAATATTAAATTTGCTACATTACTGAAACAGCAAATTTAGCTCACCCGTATTAAGTTTCCACAACCAATCTGGATATTCATTATCTGGTTTCAATTCTATATCTTTGCCTTCTTTCTGAATATTACTTCCACATAAGAACTTCACTAACTTATGTGCATCAGTTTCAACAGGCAGCTGAATTTTTTCAGCTACTGCACCAAATTTTCCGGCCTTTTTCTTGGATTTTCCAATACTAGCTAAAAAATAAAAGTAGATAAATAAAAAAATAACTAGCCAGGAAGTGTAAAACTATTCTAATGTAATAACAATTGTTAAATAGGTAAACTTACGAATTACAGTTGATTGATTCCGAATTAAAAAGTATCCATAAATGAAATTCCGAGGCATCCTTAGGAGCATATCTTTTAAACATTTAAAGCTTAACAAATTTAAAACAGCCTTTAACGTTTAAATGGCAGATCCTTAACACAATGTTCAACAGCCCACCAAAGAGAACAGCGGTGCCAAGTAAGTGTGTTACAACTTACCAATAGTAATAAACCGAAACCTCAACATTTCAAGGCTATCATGCCGGGTTTAGACATTTCGCAAATCACGGGCAACACAATTATCTAACTTAACTAACACCGACATTATTGCTAGACTACCCTATTTATTTTACAGGGACAGGCCTCAACGTATGTGCAAAGAACTGTAACAATGTTTCACACAAAATTTATATTTTATATACTTTTTATGAAAATATTGTCGCATTACAGATTGCGCATCACGTTTTTGTAACTTTTTGGATTTATTCGACATTTGGGTACATTATTATGTTGTCGGGTGCTCTTTTATGAAAATATGGGTGATAAATATTCAAGACGTAGTCATTATAAAGTTTTTATTACTGCCAACGTTTCAACCCAAACATGTGGGTCATCATCAAGGCGTGGTTAGAGCACTGATAGTATTCAAGTACTGGGTACTTGTAAAGTAAATAAATACCTTCAGTGCTCGAACCACGCCCTGATGATGGATGACCCACATGTTTGGGTTGAAACGTTGGCAATAATAAAAACTTTATAATGACTGCATCCTGAATATTTATATACTGCATACTGAATATTTATCACCCATGATATGTAGAATATTCGACTAACTTCCTTTAACAAATTTATGAAAATACTGTCAGATTTAAGATTTCGCATTACATTTTTGTTACTTTTTGGACTTAATCGGTATAAGTGTTCAATATATAATGTTATCGGAGGATCTTTTTTTAAAAACACTGTCGGATTTAAAATTGCGCAATTGCTCATCAAGTTTGCGTAACTTTCCGGATTTAATCGATAAAAGAATCCACTATAATTTTGTTGGGGGCGCTTGATATTGCGCGGTTGCTCATCATGTTTTTTTCATAGAAAGCACACCCAACAATATAATAGTGTACCCTAATATCGAATTAACCCGAAAAGTTACAAAAACTTGATACGTGATGGCCCAATCTTCAATCCAACAGTATTTTCATAAAAAGTAACCACTACAACATAATAATAGGCCCTAATATCGATTAGATCCGAAAGGTTAGGAAGAATCATTCTTAAAAGAAATCTGTATTGCGCAATTTTTTTTTTCAAAGAAGCTCTATTAATAACTAAAACTTAAAGAAGCCTTAATTTTTTTTAAAATGTAATGTTAATGTTTTTTTATATAAATTTATGCAAATTTTTCATGGTTTCTGCAAGAATAAAGATTATTCAGTGAATTTTTTCGTTGAATCAATTTATATTCAGGGGATATTTTCTCAGAATAAATATTTATTCAGACATATGTTTATTCAATAATTTGTTATTTTCAATAAAAATACTCACTGATTCTCAGAATAAATCAGAACTTGAGGTTATTTTAGGAATCGTCAATTACTAAAAATTTATTGAATAAATTATTGGAACAAAAATTCATTCAATAACGCCCGACTTTCCTGCCATGTGGAACACGCTAGGGGTTTGGAGTTGGCATATATACTTCTGGACAGTAGATTTTAAATTATCTTTATTAAAATTATCAAAATATTTTCAAGTTATGTTTCTGGGATGAAATGCCATTTCAGACCCGGCAAGTTTTACGTATTGTATTATAAATAATTGAGCTATCTCTTTTATAGAACAGTAAAATTAGGAATTGATCCAAAGATAAATTGTCTGAAAAGGTTCATTACCCTTCCCATAACTGGTAACATTCCAAAGTTTCCTGCGTCGGATTTTGGTGGAGAGAGGAGAACAGAAAATTGACATTTATTTAAAATATCCCCCCAAAAATAAGGTTTATTCCAAACATTGTTCAGTGGGATATTAAAGTACTTTAAAATCCTTATAAAAATGATCTTCATAATCTTTTTTTATCCAACTGGTAAGTACGACTTGCAACTGTCGAGAAAAACTTGCAAATTCGCTGTCCGAAGAATTTGAGGTGGATAATGGATTGAGACAAGGTGATCCTCTATCTCCCTTCTTTTTAATCTTGCCTTGGATGTGGCTATTCGTTCTATTCGAACAAATCCAGGAGGAACAATTTTCAATCGTATGTCTCAACATCTGGCATAAGCCGATGATGTTGCCATTATCTTTAAAACCCAATCAGCATTATCAGAAACTTTCCAGGAATTCGAAGAAGCAGCAGCTAAACTGGGCCCTAGAGTTAACGAACATAAGACAGTGTATATGAAAAATTCAAAAATGGAAACGGAAATAAGTACAGAAATAGCATTAATGGATCACAAGTTTAGATATGTTGACTAGTTCCAGTATCTTGGATGCCTGGTCACATGCAATAATAAAGTAGAGAATGAAATAAACGCCAGGATTGCAGCAGGAAATAGATGCTATTTCTCACTGCAAAGAGACTTGAAGTTCAGATCACTCTCTAAGAGAATCATAATTCTCATATACAAAAACATAGTAAGACCAGTGATTATGTATGGGTTTGAGACCTTAACCAAAAACTCAGAACGCACGCTCAACTCCTGGGAGAGGAAAGTATTGAGAAGAATATGGGGCGGAATCTTTTAGAATGGAATTTGGAGAAGAAGAAAGAATGAGAAGCTACGGGAACTCTATGGTGAACCTGATATTGCAGCATTGATAAAAAGAGCCAGAATCAGATGGTTAAGTCATGTGGAAAGAATGCCAGACCAAAGAAGATACTGCATGAGAAGCCAGATGGCAAAAGAAGTAGATGGCGCCCTCGGATCAGATGGCTGGAGAATGTTGAGGATGATCTGAGGCGGCTGTGCGTTCGAAGATGGAAAGAAGTAGCACAAGGCCGTGGAGATTGGTTGGCTATAGTAGAGGAGGCCCGGGTTCTTCCAGGACCGTAGCGCCATTATTATAATAATAATAATTAGAAGAGGAGATTACAGGAGCTCTCCTATTAGCTGAACAATTAGCACTAATTATACAGACGCTCATTTAATTAATTGCGTTGAGCTCTTGTGACCTCATATTCTCCTAACATGAAATGGAGATTTACACCCTTGGGTCTTCGTTACAGCATTGAGCTCTTTTAACCACCGACTCTCGTAATACAAAATAAAGATTTTAGACCAAAAATTTGTATGGAAAATGGTATTCATCTGTAGGTGGTAGTATGATTTTACCTCGGTGACAGCAGTTATTTTTCGATCTAGACATTTTCTCATTGAATACAATATATTAATTATTATATTATATATAATATTATTTATATCATATTCTGATATAATGTAAATAATATACCTAGTCCTTTCATGAATCCTGTTACAAGAAAATGTATACAGATTTCAACAGAAAAAATATTTTTTTCAAAAACTTTATTAGAAAATAAAATGTACATCTTTAGAGATCAAAACAAAAAAAGAAATTACAAAAAATGTCTCCCTTTTGCCTTTATACAGGCATTTAATCTCCGTGGCCAATCATCAATAGCAGCACGCAGCACTTTTTGAGGAAAGTGTTCGGGAATTCGTTAAACTAATAAGTTAATGTTGAATTTGTTTGTGAATGTTTGATTTTTTTTACATTTAAATACAAAGTGAAATGTATTATTTTAATTATAGTCAAAACAGCTGTTCTAAAAGATATTTAAAAACAGCTGTTCTAAAACATAAGAAGAAAGAGAGGTTACTTAAGTGTTGTTGTTGTTAGTTAGAAAGAAATGTGCTCTTAAAAAACTCTGTCTTGTAAGATTTGAAAAATATAAGTTTGTGTTTGTTTTTCTTGAAAGTGCACTTTATCGCTACTTTATTTACCATTATTGTTCATTTGTTGTATTACGAAAAAGAAAGCGCTCAACCGCGCGGACCAGAGATTGTTGGAGGCTTTACAAGTTTACAAGGTTATGCTCTGTGCCGTGACATCCTCTCCAGTTCAGACCAAAGCAGATAATCTAGTGGGTTGAGATCAGGACTTCCTGAGGGCCAATCCGAGGCAGAGATGAACTATGGAATGTTCTTTTACAGCAACTGCTGAGTTGACCTGGCCTTGTGAGCTGGAGCAGAATCCTGCTGGAAAACGTAATGACTTCCAGCAGAGTATCATTTAGAGGCTTGACAGCAGGTTCCAAAATATCGTCCTGATAGTTTTTAGCGGGTGTTTAACTCCTTTTTCACAAAAATGGAGCTTTGCGGTGCCATCAAAGCAAACTCCCCACCAAACCATCACTGAGGAAGGGTGATGACCTCTTGTCACTCTTCCAATAACTTCCTGGGCTTCTATAGTGCTGTGTGCGTACACACGATCATTTTGGCGATTAAATTTTTCTTCAATTGTAAAAATTTTCACATCGCTAAACAAAATCTTTCGATGAAGACCATTGGTATAGCGGCCAAGGAGCACTTTGCATCTATCCAATATAATTTTTTTTTGGGAAGTGGTTAGCCTTTGTCCGTTCATTCTTCGAAATGCACCCATCCTAAGGTCACTTCTTAGTATGCGAGACATTGATCCGACAGAGATTCCCATTTCCCGAGACATGATTTGTTGTTTTCGAATGGAATTTCTTCTGATTCGAGCAGCCACTGCTCTCACTGTATTTGCCGTTCTAACAGTGCGGGGAAGGCCCAGTCGAGGTCCGTCACTTACAGACAGGGTCTTATTATATCTATTTATAGTGCGGTACACGAACATACGGCTGATATCCAAAGATTTCAGTGTTGAAAATCTCTGATCTACATCCAACTTTGTATAAGGCGATTCGCTTTTCTTTGTCTCCATGTTAACTGAGCGAAAGAAAAATACAAACTAATTGGGACTATTATCCTGACATTTAAAGAACGGCGCTATGAGTGGACGGTAAGTGTTTGTGACTGCTCGCTGTACGACATTAGTGTTCAGCTGGTCGTGAGAAAGATCCGGCCTAAAAGGAGGTAGTGCTGAAAAATTCTTGATAACCTAAGGCTTCTGGACCAATTCATACCTAAGCCACTAC